GACTGTTCTATGTTGCTCAAGTTTTCTATAGTGAATTAATTTATAATCAGAGAGAAAAAATTTAAGAAAATATAAGTGATGCTTAAATTTTTAAATTAAAGAATCACCCAAATTAATTTGCCTAATACAACTTTGGCATAGTTGTCAATTTTTTTTTGCATTATGTTCTTTTAAAATTTTTTCACAGGTGGTAGTCATAAGCTATATACCATTTTATACTTTACTGTCATACGTAGTCTATAATTATCAGATTCATAACTTACAACATTATCACATACTAACGTACACTTGCAGCACAGGTGATACTGATTCTTAAGTCTGCATTGGGTGAAAGGGGTTTTTTATGAACTCCTGCCCTGGTCTCCCTCCCAGCGCAGACAGAATTAGTCATTCCCTTATCTGTGTTTGCTCATTGCCCAGTTCTTCCTTTCCTCAGATCTCCCTCCTGGTGTCAGGGTTACTTGAGGGCCGGCCAGTGCCTGTGTTGTGTAGTAGCCACAGTGTCCAGCACTGTGCTCGACACGTGCTAACATCTGCTCAGGAAGTGTAGATGTCTGACAGAAACTGACAGACAGAGGGACAGAAGATGTGAACAGGGCCAGGCTTGGATGGTTAAATATCTCTGCTTATCAGTTTTTTGGTTTTTTGTTTTGGGGGTTTTTTGTTTTTTGGTACTGGGGATCAAACTCGAGACCTTGCGTTTGCTAGGCAGGCAGTGGAACAACTGAGCTAAATCCCTGGCTAATATCTGCTTATCTTGAGGAGGCTTCCAAACTGGTTAATTCCAGCCTCAGCCTCAGGGAAATGTGCAGGGCAGGAACATAAAAGTTCTTCAATTTCCCCAATACAGACTTTTTTCCTTCAGTCTTCTTTTAAAGTTACATGTTATGTTCAGGTTAAGTTGTGGACTCTGTTCGAAAGGCCTGTTTATAACAGTTCTCTTAGTAGCTTCTAAAACTCATCTTTGACTATCAGGCCTGGATTTTTCCCATTGTGCGTCTGACACAATCCTTTCCAAATTTGTATCAATACCCATAATAGCAGTCAAAATGCTCTTAGCAGAGGCATAAATAAATGAAAAGAAAAGGACAAAGAAAGGAAGTTACGTACTGAATACACAGTTTGTTTAGGGTGATGGGGAAATCCTGGAAACAGGGCTAATAGTTACTCACCATACTGAATGTACTTAATGCTACTGAATTTTCCACTTTAAAGTGGTTAGAATAATATTTTGGATACCTATTTTTTTGCACCAGTAAAAAGAAGAGAGGAAAGAAGGAAAATAGAAGCTGAGTTACATGGAGCCCACCCTTTCTATAAATCTTGTTTTTTCCTAGTTGAACCTCTCTGGAACTAGACTCAAGGCTGCATTAAATCTTCCTGAAGACAGGAAAAATAAATTCCTCACTTTTGTAGTGGATCTCATTATCTTGACCTAGCAGACACATCAAAAAAAAATCACCCCGGTTGGCAAAAACTTGGCCATCCCATTTTCCTTCCCCCTTTGAGCTCTTGCCTGTGTCACCACAAGGAAGTGGCTGGTGACATAAGCATTAGCAGCCTGAAGAGCTATGGTTAGAAAAGTAGAGGGACATTTGTTCCCCTTAAAATGATGGCCTGCCTCTGGCTTTTTTGTCTTGTAGAATCAGGCTAAAATCATACAGGTGTTAGTCTTGTGTTCATTTGAGTCCGCGTGCTACTTCTTATTTGTATACATGCTCTCTGGGAAGAAATGTGTGTGATGCTTGTGGTAAAGGTTTTTTTTTTTTTTAACTATCATTTAGAAAAACACAGACAGTGTTAGTGCCAACCCTTGCTCTGAATGAAGCCGTGAGAGGAAAATCCCCACTGTCATGGCTTCCTAGGACCCAAGACTCTTCCTATAGCTGTGCCTCCTTCGTCCCCGAAGAAGAGGGAAGAGTTTTGTTATCACTCACCCCTTCGAGAGGTGGGCTGTACCCCAAGGAGAGCCAGGCTAGGTGCAGGGCGGGCGTCCCCACCTGGAGGAGGAGTAGCTACTGCCACCCTGGACCCAGCGTTTGGCTAGGGCCCAGCTCCAGGCCTATGGCCTGAATACCATATCTCATGGATCCGAAGATGCACTTTCTTACCTTTGTGAACTCAGGATGCATCTTATGATGGATGGCACATCAGAGTTCGGTAGGCAGCTTTTTCTCTCTCTCTTTCTAGTAGTATGTAATGACCCCTTAAAATTGATGAGTTTGAGAGTTGATGAAATACAGTGCATTGAGGAGGACCTAAACACAGCCAGCTGTAACATTTGGGGGAAAGTGCTGAAATATCTCCCTGCAAGGAAAGTTTGAGTGTGAATTCCTGAGTCACAGTCAAGGGAGAAGACACAGCTATTTCAGAGCCAGGCGGGTAATTATAAGCTTCAGATTTCTGCTGCTGGGCCCAGACCTCTGTAGCAATAAATGCAGTCCAGGCCTCCTTTTACACGGGGGCTCCTTGGAGCTCTCTGCTTTGAATGTGTCCCTCTCTTTATCAAAAAGAGCTATATTGTAACCTGCGTGCAGGCACCACGAGAAATAAGAATGGGTCCTTTGTGGATTCAAGGTCAAAGATGTCATTATAACTCTGAGGCTTGTTGTGGGCAAAACTGTGACCTGGACTGGATTTATTTCAGTGTCATCTTCTCCCCTGGGCACAAGGTCCAATCCCTTGGTTCCCTGGCATCCTTCAGACCTGCCCATCTCATGTAGCACCCTGTAGGACGTAAGCGATCTAGGTGAGGGGCAACTGGGCATTTTCTATATATGTAAAAACACTTAAGCCAGTACTGTAGGTACCATACTGATCTCCTGTATTTAAACTCATATGCAAAAAATGTTACTTTAAAACAGAGACGTGAAAGAGGCATTTTTAAGAGTTTTGGTATTTTGTTTTGTTTTGCAGTGCTGGGGATTGAACCCAGAGAGAACTGAACTGCACCCAAGTGGTTTTTATTGTATTTTGAGACAGGGTCTTGCTAAGTTGCCAAGGCTGGCCTCAAATGTGACATCCTCTTGCCTCAGCTTCACAAGTAGCTGGAATTAAGGTGTGCACTACTGCGCCTGGATAAGAGGCATTGTTATTTGGCAAATCATACATCCGGGTAGTGACCACCCCAACTATGTTTAAGACTCATCCTTCGCCTACAGTGCATGCTGGACCCATGGTCAGGACCCGAAGCCAGAGGACTGATTTCCAGTTCTGCAGGTCTCTAACTTGGGGAAAGAATGATTAAATCATAGAAAACAACTTGTCAGCTGTTCCAAACGGAGGACACACCTCCTCCTCCTCCTCCTCCTCCTCGTGAAGACTAATTTCCCCTGCAGCCAAGATCAGATGTGTAATATCAAAGCCCCTCCTCGGAAACCCCCCTCATCCCCATTTACAAAGGGTGAGGGGCAGACCTGAGACCTCAGAACAGGAAAGGGGGGTGAGAGTGTATCATTGCTAACTTCTCAAAGTCTTAGGGAAACCCATTTTAGGTAAAATATATAAATTAATTGAGCCTAAAGAGGTCCCATCTCCTACTTCAAATGTATTCTCTTCCTGGCTGCACACGGCAGGTCAGACCAAGGAGAGTGCGCAGGGATGGATTGCTGTGTGTCGGGTCTCACCATGCGGCACGGAACAGCTTACATACAGCTCAGTTGGTGACGCTCAGATTCACAGGATTTAAGGATTACTATCTCCAAGGAACAAAGAGAGAAAGCCCCAAACTGCACCAAAGGCCATTCCAGAGTCCTTCTGGTTTGCATTTAGGGCACAGGGAGCAAATGCCAAACCACTAGCTGTGCTCCCCACCCCAAGCCTCTCCTTCCCTCTGATCAGTTGATTTCATTGGAGCTGAAGGGTGACCCACAAGGGAAGTTTGCAAAGCTTGTAATGCCACCTAGAAGGGGCTGGGGGATTGTGCCCCTCTTTTTCCTTCATAGCTTTGGGAGGCATCCGGCATCCTAACCCTCCCTTCCCCTCCCTTGGCATTGAAGACCCTGTGAGCACTGGGCCACCTTCTCTTGGGGAGTGAGATTCTAGCATGTGAATCCCAAAGCATTCTGCCCTTCAGAGTTCCTTGTGTGTGGCACTTCAGAGTACAATCGAATTCACTGTCACTCTGGTGACATGAATAATCCATCATTATCAGTGAAACGATAGCTGTCCCTTACCATCTCTTTTCTTAAGCCAGTGTCAGAGAGCATGAATTACACTTTTGGAGGGATAGGGTAGGAGGATGGAGATTCTTACTCAGCTCCACCCTGGGGGTGCAGATAACGCAATGGTGAGATAGTCGTGCAGCTCAGAACTCCCAACCACTCATCCACTGGCAAGTGCTCCTACCGGGTACCACACTGAGCAGCCCCCTCCGCATGGGCACTGGCACCGCAGGTCTGCGAATTGCGTGTGGATACAGCGTTGGTCCAGAACTGCTCATGCAAATGATGCAGTGTGTCAGGTCCTTTCACGTGATCCGACAGACTCCTGTCTCTCCAGATTTCTCTGATCAGCACCTGCCCCACCCCACCTCCAACAGTTACCAGAGCTCGTAAGCCAAAGGAGACAGTTCCTGTTGCCATGAGGACTAGGCCCATGGTGAGGCTGTCGAGCTGTTCCTAGGGCGACAACGATTAGATTTTCACTTGGATCTGTAAGAAGCCAGACTAGGAAGAGAATATATGCAAATGTCTGTGTTAATACCACAAAACCCCTGACTTGGCCCCATGGTGCTTGAGTCGTGGTTTCTCTTAGTGAAAGCTTTTTAGCATTTTAACATTCATGTATGTTCTATGTTTTTAAATTTTGTATTCATCCAAAAGGAGCCTGAAAAGCAAAAACATTAGGTCAAATAGGAATTTTACCATCATTTGATATAATGAAAATATGTTTGCAAATATAGAAACTACATTTCTAAACCATTCTTTCTCTTTGCCCAATCTGAAGAAATTTCTAATTTTTCCAGAGGAAAAAAATATTTATTAACTTGAGTTCTGTTTAGAACTTTGTTGTTGTGGTGGTGGTTGTTGTTGTTGAGACAGGATCTTGCCATGTAGTTCAGGCTGCCCTAGAACTTGCAGCTCCCACTCAGCCTCCCAAGTGCTGGGATTACAAGCACGTGCCACCATGCCTGACTCAGAAGTTTTTTGTTGCGGGGGAGCTTGTCTTTTGGGGCACTAGGGATTGGACCCATTGTCTCGCCTTGCAGGGCAGGTAGGTGCTACACCCTCAGGCCTATGCAGAACCCTTACATTTTTCTCTGAATACTTTGGAGGACCCAGAGGAAGGGAAAAGAGTCCTCTGCAACTTCAGGGACCCAATCAGCCACAAATCACGTCAACCCTGTGCTCACCAAAGATGCAGGGCCAGGCTGATGTGCATGTTGAGGCCTCTAACATGGGCTGCCTTTCAAAGCCAGCACAAATAAGGCAGTCTGCATTTGCCCGCCTTAGAAACAGCTGCCGTGCAGATCCCTGGTGCAGCTGAGACCCTCCTTCATCACCCCCTGCCTGCCTGCCTGTCTGTCCACACACCAGACCCACAGGAAGAGCTCCTTGAACTGCCCAACCTTCTAAGCTAGTTGCATTCGAACTGGAAAGAAAGAAGTTAGTGCCTTTGTCCCTTAGCCCTGAAGCAAATAGGCTGCAGAAAGCACCACTTTGGGTAAGAAGGTCTCAAACCAGGCCTTCTGATTTGGGGACTGAGAGGGAGGCCAAGGTCTGTTCTTGTCCTCTTCTCAGGCTGACTGTCCCCTGGCACATCCTGTCCCCTCTGTGACCATTGTCTTTGTTCTTCTGTTGTCTTCTTGTTCAGCACCAGATTTCCTTTTCTGCAGTTGCTTCTTCACCTGAGCTGTTATTCTCAGCTTCTGCGCCTCCTTCTGGGTCTCAGGTCCTTGGTGTCTCTATTTCCGGTTGTGGGCCTGGTTCTCTGAAGGCCCTGCAAGGAACAGGATAGGCATTGGGACATGCGGGGACCAGCCCTGGAAACCCCAGCCTAGGAGGTATCTCTATCTAGGGTCCTAGTCTCCTGTCTGTTTCTACTGCCATCTCCTTGATTAGCTGCTGGATGGTGTAAAGGGATGGAAAACTCACTACGGGAGCTGGGCATAGATGGATGCTTGATGTACCTCAGGCAGGCAGGCCATGAGTTCTTCTCCTGTCCCCTCTGCAAGGCCTCTGCTCTACATGAGCAGTCCTGTTGCTCTCAACAGGTATCAGTCATAAGACTGTATAGACAAGGAACAAATATCACCTGAGACTGTGTGTGTGTGTGTTCCAGCCCACAGCAAGACAGAAATTTTCCCTCACAACATCTGCATCCCTTTAGTTAGAGAATGAACTGGGAAGGAAGAACTTCTGAAAACCCTGCCTGAGGACTGGGGATGAAGCTCCGTAGTACAGCGCTTGCTTCCGTGTGGGAGGCGCCGGGCTCAGCCCTGAAGACGGAGTAGGGAATCCACAGACCCAGTTGGCTCAGAACACAGAAAGGAAGACCTCACAGAGAAAATGAGACACCTCAGCTGCTGGCCCCTGGCCACTAAGGCAGAGTCGGAACCGGGTGGCCCAGTCTCCCTTCAAGTGAGCTTCTGAGAAGGTCAGGCCCCCCTGGGATACCAGATGCTGACCACCCCCTCTCGCCCCGGCCTTACCCAGGCTCTCTGTTACCTTCATTTGATCAAAGGAAGGAAAGCAATGGGTCTCTCTTCTACTTGTATAATAAAAGAAAACATAATCATAGGTTGACACATTACTTTTGGTGGATGCACAGAAAGAATATCCCATACTAGATAGGAAGGGAGGAGCCCCCAGAGGGAAAGGAAAGCAGATTGGCTGCCTGCAGAGGTCTGGGGTCAAAGGCCTAAGGAATCTTGTTCCTTTAGACACCATGAGAAAGCCCATGGCAACGAGGGGCCCACGGGGTGAGGGGGACAGATGGACCCTTGCAGCCCCTGGATGGAAAGACCAGACAGCTGAGCCTCAGGCAGGGATTACAGAGCACTGGGAACTGGAATCTCTGCTTCCACACAATGCTTCTCAATAAGAGGCAGGTAAGTTTCCCAAGATTTTCCATGTGCTCAGAGAAGACACTACAACCCCAAGCTGACAGCTAAACCATGTTTCTACCTGGAACCACCACCATCTTCTGAACCTCAGTGCTCAATTTTCATGGACCTTGCTGGCTTCATACTGATTAACTATTTTGTTCAAAATTATTTTTTACCACCATCCTAGTCTAGTTTAGATTTAAAAGATGGGCAGAATAAATGCAACATTAACTATCCCATAAAAATGTAACACACCATTTCTGTTGCAAACGAGATTTAGCAATAAGACCCAGAATGGTTTTCTGATGACTTTTATCCAAGAAGAGCTTAAGCCTGGGAAAGAATTAGTCATGAAGACGAATATTTGTTATGAAAACAACCAGTCCTTAATTGGGCCACCCCATAACTTTCATTAGGCTTTCTTGATAAAAGTTAAGGGAAACATTTAGCAAAAAGGAGAAAGTTGGAGAAACAGAAAAAACAAAAGGTTACCTCTTCTCAAAGTCCTTTGATCCTACTTCCTCTTATTATTTGGCATCTTCCCTGCATCCTCAAGATGCATTGTTAGGGCTTTGAAAGTACTCAAGGTTATATACCTATTATTCTATTTCCTATTAAAAGCCAGGTTTACATATGTTTAAAATACTAGCTACTAGTGCTGGGGATTTGGCTCAGTGGTTCCACTGCCTGCTTCGCAAGCGCAAGGTCCCGAGTTCGATCCCCAGTACAAAAAAAAAGGAAAAATACTAGCTACTAAATGGATGTTCAGATATAGCACATTTTGGGAGTAGGAGGAACCCTGGAGTTGCTTAGGCGGGATCCTTGAGCAGGGCTCATCCTAGCTGCCAGACTGGTGCTAGAGCAAGAATGTGTAACCTGGACTAGAAAGGGGCTGGAGGCAATGGGTGGCGCCCTGAGGACCCTGACATTTGCATATGGCCGAGGGCAGATGCTTATTCTCGCCACACCTTGCAGGTCCTCCCCCCCTGGCTGGGTCACCCCCAGGGCAGCCTCCCTGACCTTCCTGGGCTAGGGGAAAGGATAGAAGGGAATGGGATTAATATGAGAAAATGGAGAAATAGGTCCAGTCCAGCCCCATTCTAATCCCTGCTTTACCTGACCCCAGCCTAATCTGCCTGGAGCAATTCAGTGGTTGTGGTAATCCTCGAAAGAGCCTACACTGGCTCCTGCTATCTGCCGGCCCAGTCACACACCTGTGATGGGGGTGACCTCACACCCCGGCAGATACCTCAACTGCTGGTGACCCCACTCCTGGCCTCCTCCATGTCTCCCTCCGCCCAAAATCTGCACTTCCTCCCAAGACTCCAGTCAAACCCCGCCTTATCCGTGACTCTCTTACCAAGTGGAACCAGAGAATTTTTAGTGACTGCTCAGCTTAACCATGGAAGAACCCTGTGACCTGGGACCCCCCATTTTGGGCCCCTTTTTGTCATGCCATGTCACAACCCTGGTCATCCAGGTCTGACCAGCCTGGCTTCATGGAAATCTAGTGGAACCAGAGCACACACTGCACAGTTCACCCTCAACCAGCTGGCATCAGTCTTGAGCTTTTCAATGAAGGTAACCTTGCTGGGGATGGTGGTGCACACCTGTTGTCCCAACTACTCAGGAGGCTGAGACAGGAGGATCACATGTTTGAGTCCAGCCTTCATAATGCACCAAGATCCCATCTCAAAATTTTAAAAAAAAGCTCAGCTCAGTCTCTCCACTTGGGCCTTAGCATCCTTGCAGGCCGGGGCTAAGGCTGCACTTCTCTTAGTGCCCCCTGCCCTGCAACCCCTGCCTTTGTGTACAATAAAAGCATTTTTAAAAGTTGGATGCCAGCCAGGTCTGGTGACACACATCTGTAATTCCACTGCTCTGAAAGGCTGAAGCAGGAGGATCCTAAGGTCGAGCCTAGCCTGAGCAACTTACCAACTTAGTGAGACTCTGTCTCAAGATAAAAACTATAAAGTGGGGGTTGAGATGGACATGTAGCACAGTGTGAAGGCCCAAGGTTCAATCCTCAGTACCACAAAAATAAGTGGGATGCCAGTCTGAACTGAAAGAAAACCTTAATGCCAAATTCTACATTCCACACTTAAGAGCTCAGGTGCAGGTTTTGTAGCATCCACTGTTTTCTGAGTGACAGAGGGGCATTTGAGCCATGAAGTGAGCATACCTTACCCCGTGTAAAATGCAAAGCAAAGCTGTAAACATGACCCATGGCTGTGGGCTTTTGTACCATACTAACCAAGTTAGCATGTGCGTGTGTGGGTGTGTTTGTTGGTTGGCTTGGTTTAGGTGGAGTATTCTCCAGTATCTGGAGACTTCCCCTGACAGCAAGCACTCTTGTGCACCGCAGAGTGAAGGGCATAGGCACCGTGTTCGGGAACCAGACCCCTGAACTGGTGAGGTCAGCAGCCTGCTGGTATATGTGACTCCCTGGTCACCTTCCTTCGCTGAGTCCCTTCGCAGCAAGGTGTGTGTGCACCTGACTGCAGGATACATAGGGCCCTGTCCCCATGAACTGTCGGAGGTGCCCAGGGTGACTGCGACCCTGCTGTCACCACACATATTTCCATGATGACGGGGCTGGACTCCATGGCCACAGTGATGGCCCTTTCACATTGCAAGACAGCTCTCAGCACCCCAGGTGCTCTGGACACACCTGGGTTGTCACTCCCTGGGGGGCTTACTTTTCCAATAGGGACTCGGTGACTCTTTCCTTGAAAATCTTCTGTGACTACATCAAAGAAAGCGATAAAGACTGACCTGCTCACCCCTTTTTTTTTTTTAACAAGCTTCCAAATAGGAGTTAAGAGGTCATGTTCGATAGGCCATCTGCAGAGAGTCATCTTTGGTAAAACTGAACAGAGGAGGGTAAAGACAGGCGTCCCGCTCTGGCTGGCTTCTACTGCCTGCTGCATAATGGGAGTCTGAGATGGATGTCAAGTACAGCTGAGAGTTTTGTCATCCTTCACTGTCACCTCCCACCCCACCCCACCCCCCAGCAAATCCCCAGCCATTTATACTGAGTCTCGGCTAAGCTTCAGTTGACTGGAGAAGGATCTAGTAATTGCTGATGGAGAAATTATGTTTCTAAGAAGGGGGAGCTGGGCATGGTGGTGCACACCTCTAATCTCAGCGCTTGCAAGCCTGAGGCAGGAGGATCAGTACGAGTTCAAGGCCAGCCTGGGCCAGACAGTGAGTTCAAGGCCAGCCTGAACTGCACAGGGAGACCCTGTCTCAAAAAGGGAGGACAAGTAAAGAGTAAAAAAAGCACAGGGAGAAGGTCAGCAGTTAGGCTGTGGTAAAAGACACTAGGTATGTGTATAACAGAGAAAAGGGAGGCCAGATACAGGATCCTTGGTGCTGGGGAAGCATTCCCAGGTTGATAATCATCTCACAGCAGGTTACTTCTCTGTCCTCCTCTAGCAGTAATCAGCGCAATGCCCTATCTGATTTTGACCTCCCACAAGCAGTTACCTGTGAGCAAGATGGCAGTGCTTGTATCTGCTCACAAAGGCTATGTGCGGCCTTGGGTGACTGTGTGTGACTGTTGCAGATGCTATGAAGAGCCTGCTCACATCCCAGAGATGCAGCTCAAGAGGGACTGTTAGGTCAGTGAGCTGGAGGAAGAATTAGCCCAAGTCACTTCCGGGGAAAGCGGGGTGCACATAGGGGACACCTGGGGTGTTGTCATGGTAAGGAGGTCAGCCTTGGCTTTAGCTTCCAGTAGAAAGAAACAGAAAGCTGAGGATACATCACAGATGCATCAGCAAGATTATTTATGTTTTCTAGAGAAGATAAGTAACAAACTATATTTGGCTTCTAACCCACATCATAGAAAGCCTCTATTGCTATGCCCAAAGAGGCTGGATTTATTCTTCACTGAAATGAAAGTTTGACATAAATTTCACCTTCATTCTGGGGTCTAGTTCCGTGTTTAACTACCAGCTTAATTTTTTTATCCTAAGTGAAAGGTATATTTTCCTTAAAAGACAGAGGAGCTCATCTGGCCATTAAGACGGGAGAAAATATAAGCCTAAGGTATCGGCTCCACCTCAAGTTGCCAAGTTCCTCACTATCGTTAACAGTGCTTTGATGAGAGCGGACGTTTAGGAATACCTACTGTGTGCCAAGCAGTGCTGAATCACACTACCCGAGGATTTCGGGGGGAAAGGGGCAGAGAGGTTAAGCTCTGAGGAGAGGACGATTTCTCACTGTTTCCAGATTGCTTTGAGTGTGTGCAGTGTGGCGTCCAGGGCTGTGCCTGCTGCCCTGCCAGAGGAGTTGAGGAAACTCTGAAATCTGTGGTTATTCGAAGACTAGAGAAGTCTGAGCCAGGGGCAGAGCACAGCTGAAAACTGTAAAATAGACACTTTCAGTCTCATCCGGGTGTCTTCCTGTCTCTGGGTAAAACCTTGTTTGAAGAATGTATCTAAAAAGTCTAAACTCTAACTGGGTGTTACTGGTGCACACCTGTAATCCCAGCACTCAAGAGGCTGAGGCAGGAGGATCCTTGGAGTTCAAGGCCAGCCTGAACTATATAGCAAGACTGTCTCAAAACAATAAATAAACAAATAAATAAAAAGACTAAACTCAAGGGTCTCTGTGGATGTGAGGCCCAGGCTCAGCCCCCACCCCTCCTGCCCCTAGGCCCTCCCTGACCATCTCTGAGCCTTTCCTAGACCTCCAACCCCTGAGAAGCTGCTTCTCAGTAAAAATCTCTGCGTATGTAAAGTACCAACCCAGGTTTCTGGATTCTGCTGCTTTTTTCTGCTTTCTCATGTCCTACCCGGAGTTCCACCCTCCTCACTCCCCAGCCCAGCTGCAGAGCAGACTGCTGCTCTTAGGAAAGTGGCCGAGGGATGAAGAGGCAACTGCTGTCCACCCAGCCCTCAGCATCACACGGCCAGACATGGATCCCGTAGTTGGTTCCGTGGTCAGGAACCAGCAGGGGAGGGGGACACGGATAGGGCAGCTTTGCAGAGCTGAGCCTTCTCAAGCACTTGGGGCTGGTCTCCCTCTGCCACTCTCCCAAAGCCGGGAGAGTCTGGAGACGGTGGCGGTGGCACCCAGGCCTTCCCTCCACAGCGCACCCTGCACCCCTTCCCTGTCTCCTAGGGCTTCCGCAGGGAGCTGCATGTGGCTGAGGGGCAGTCCTCCTGTCTATAAATGGAAACGTTGCCCCATCTCCCAGTGTACACCAGATAGGCCTGCACATCTTGCCTGTGATGACTTCCTCAGAGGGGTGCGGGCCGTGAGAGAAGAAGGTTTGGGTCGGGGAAAACAGTAGCTCCTCCTAGCTACTTAGTGGGGACAGTGGAGGCTCGCCCCCTCCCATAAAGTGAGCCAATGAAAGAAAGGCAGCAAACCTGGATAGCCAGCCCCGCCAGCAGCCGACAGACCACATCCGGGCCATGTGTCCTCACAGTGGCCCCTTGGATGCCACCAGAGCCTATTCTGACCTCCATGGGTCAGATTGTACAGTACCGGTGGCTCTGGTTTTCTTACAGCCACATAGAAAAGATAACCGAGGGAGGCAAGTGGCGGTCTCCCCCATCTCTCCAGTTCTCCCCCATCTTTCTGCTTCTGAGCTCTCAAGGTCTGGCTGTTCCTGGCTGTACTCCATGGCTTCCAGCCCAGGATGGAAGAAAGCCTTGGAGAACAGTCTTGGGCATCCTTGTCCAGGTGGATCCCAATGGTTGGGCCCTTCGGAGCCCTCTTCGGGACAGGGGAGCTATTTGTGGAACCATGACAAGCCATCCTGGTTGCAGAGCCAAATTCAGACTGTCATGCCATGTCTGGGTCCTGAAGGAAGAAGTGCTGCTTGGGCTCATCTATGTCATAAGGAGGTTTGGGGAAAAGTGGCCCAGGTCCCAGACATGACCTGCCTCCCTGGAGAACTCACTACATTCCATTGCATGTAAGTGTGGACTTACTCTTAATGAGCTTTCAAACGTAGTACTATTTATTAAAAGTAATGTATGTTCACAACACATTTGGAAGATTATAAAAAGAAAAAAAATCACTCATAATCCTGGTCTAACTATTATCTTGTGGCTAGTATTCTAGAAACTGCTTTTATTTCTGCCCTTTCCACCACATACTCTAAGCATTTTCCTACGTGATTAGGCAGTCTGAGAAGGCATAATTTCTATTGGCTCCTGCGTATTCATGGTATGGATGTACCATAATTTATTTAATCAAGCTCCTATTGTTGCACACTAATGAACTTTTAACCAATTTAGAGTCGCTTTGGTGGTGGAATTAAACACAACAAAAGGATCAAAAGGACTCTATAATTTACATCAAAGGCAGAGGGAAAGCATAACTCTTCAAGTTGTCTTCCACTGGAGGGATGTATGGTAACTATGTCAAAGTGCTGATAAAGACAAATGGTATTTTTGTTGTTTTTAACCCTAAAAAAAGTCCTTGCAAACCTGACCTTTCCTCTGGCTCTTAGCATTCACACATCTTGCACTGGACAGCCAACTTTAACCCCTTTTGTAACACTCAGCTGATCTATAGCTCTGAGAAGCAAGTCGCTGGAAGGCCAGCTGTTTCCCCTTCTCTAGCTGTACCCCACAACAGATTTAGGCTGGCTCCATCATAGCCAGTTACTTCAATGCAGCATGTATTTATGTTGATGCTACCGTGGACTTACCCTGTGCTGGATACTGGGAGACTCATAGTCCCAATCCCCATGGAGCTAAAACCTTGCCGTGAATGGAGCCAGGAGGGTATCATCTGCGAGAAAATTATAACTATAAGAATTTGGGAAGTTGGAACTTTCTACATCCCCATGTTATACAGTAAAAATCAAGAAGGAGTATAGTCATATGTATATCATGATAAGGAGCATGAAAAGTATGCTATTGTGGGGCAGGGATTTAGCTCAGTGGTTCTGCCTCCTGCCTGGAAAGCGCAAGGTCCCGAATTTGATCCCCAGTAGCAAAAAAAAAAAAAGTATGCTATCGCATACTGTGGAAAAGCTAGGAGGAAACACAAAAGCGCATCAAAACATTAACAGTGGTTACTTTTGGGTGTTAAAAATGAGCATTGACTTTCTTCTTCATGCTTTTCTGCTTTTTAAATTTTCCCCAGTAATCGAGTGTTGGGGAGGTCAGCAAACCACACATTTTTTAAATACAGTCATGCTTTATATCTGTGGGTGATTCGTTTAGGAGTCCCTTCAGATACCCAAATCTGTGGATCCTCGAGGCCCTTATATAAAATAGTGTAGTGTTTGCAAATGACCTACACACATGTGCCCATACTTTAGATCATCTCTAGATTACTTATACTACCTACTCCAACTTAAATGCTACACAAATAGTGGCTAAAACTATCTTATTCAGGGAACAATGATGAGGAAAAGTGTGCATGTTCAGCACAATCTTTTCATATATTTTCCAGGCATAGATACAGAATCTGTGGATGCAGAAGGCCAGTTGCAGTTGTCTTATCTAAGGGTCTAGGTAGAGACTCCACCTTGTTCATTGAAAACGTAGAAAGAAAACCAAAGTCAAAGTCCCGGTGCTGTTATTTTAAGTGCTAAGCTAGAACCGGAAACACTGCACTTCCGTCACCCTGGACTGCATGATGGAGAGGCCAGGGCAGTAACAAGTAACAGCCACACACTGGTTGTCATGTGGTCAGGGTGTACCAGGCACTGGGCCTGTGGAGGAGCAGAGTTCCTATCCAGTCCTGTTGGCTTCCCCTAATCCAAACTACTGCCTCTTAAAGGCGGAACAAAGAACTTTGCTGAACACATTTAACAGCCCTAGCATTGGGCTCCCAGTTACTGCTGTTTCCGAGATAATCATCCTAAATTGATAATCACAGCCTCAAAATTCAGTTATCCTGGGGACACGACGGACACACATCACATAATAAAACTTTTAATCCAGCCTTCTTTAATAATCATAAGGGACAGAGAGGTTTAGGTGGGTGAGGCCTGTTGGGGCTCTGCTATGAATTTAGCAGCTTTCCAAACCCACAGTGGAACATCATTCTGGACAAAGGAAATCTATAAAAGATACCACCATCCTGAAGCCACATTTCTGCCCTGACACTTGATCGACTTCACAGGGAATCCTAAGGTTTTATTTTGTTTCTTTCTTTCTTCCACGTATGGTTGAATGGCCTAATCTCATGCCCTTTCTTTAAATGTTGAAGTTGATATCATGCAGGCATCCAACTTTGGGTCTCAGGCAACAAATAAAAAATATTCTTATGCACTCTCAGTTCCACTCTTTGATCCCAGCCTAATAGTTTCTACCTTTTTATTCAAGGTCCACCCTCCCCAAAGCCCTCTTGGGTGCCTGCTGATTAAGACCAGGTGCAGGCTATGGTGGGGGAAAACCAGAATCCCAAAGATGCCACCACCAGCTGTGCAACCTCAGACAAGTCACTTACCCTCTCAGAGACTCTGAGTTTAACTACACAGGTCAGCACCTCACACAGTCCTTCACCCAGCGCAGGCACTCCGTGTGTATTGTCTTCTTCCCTTGTTACCATCTCCTCTCCTCCACATTTGAAGGACCCATTCCAGCCTGGGAGATCCTCCTCAAATTGCAGCTCTCTGTGGCACTACCCTCGGAAGTCCAGGGATGCTGGATGACTCTTAGCAAGGGAGCTGCTCTTCTGCCCCCACAGTGGAGCTGCTGCTGAAGTACTGTGCTTCCCCGACTCCCTTCAGAATTCTTGGGTTTGAATGACAAACATTACTGGTCTGAGCAACCCTTGGGGAGGAAAAATAAGAATTCTGTTCCAAAAGCAGAAGAATCTGCAATAAAACCTAAGCAACTCAGCACCCTTCCTTGCTTTTGAAGGTGCAGACTTGCAGTCTAACGCGGGAGCAGGTTGTAGCCAGTGCCCATCAGCCAGGATTATTTGCCCTGGTGATTTTCACACTGAAGGGTGTCTTAGACACTTGGGGAGCTTGTTAAAATTTACACCCCGAGAGGGTCGGATTCAGGGGGAACTGGCGCTTCTCACAAGTTCCTAGGCAAGGCTAATGCTGAAGACTCTGGAACCATACTTTGAGAAACCCGATTTAGCCCATCGTTGTACCCAAGTGGCCCCTACTGCAAGTGAGGAAGGTTTTAACATCTTCTTGGTCATTTCCATCTCCAAAGTTGCCACTGACAAGGAGGCTTAGGAATCTGACTTGCATTTCAGGCAGGTCAGTTGGTGGTGGCACAGCCCGTGGGCCTCACAGCCAGGGCTCTCCTCCAGCCCCCCACGGGTGTGGGACCAGCCCTGCACTGCCCACTGACCGGAAAATGCCAAACCCTCCCCACAAGTGTGATTTAGCTTCCACATCAGCTAAATTTCTGCCTTCTGAAACGTAAAGCTGGTACTCTACCTTCATAGGAGAAAACCTCTGGATACTGGTGAGAGATTTGGACAGAGAAGCCTTATAGAATTTAATGGAAATTCCATATGGCCCAAAGATTGATCTAATCATTTTTTTGAATGACCTAACTCAGAGTGTGTGTGTGTGTGTGTGTGTGTGTGTGTAGCACAGATTCGATTTCTGGGGCATCTTTTTTGTTTTCTGTACGGATTTGTTCCTACTCTTTCCCACCACGAACCAGCCCTGTGTCTGTCAGCACCCCCGCGCGTGTCCTACCGGCCGTGCCAGGCGCCGAGTGAGAGGCGCGTGGAGCCGCGCGCAGGCCGAGGCCTCCGGCCGCGCCCGCTCCTTTGTTAGCGCCGCCGGGCTTCTCTCTCGGGCCTGCCGGGGGCGCCCGGGCCCCACTCCGGCCTGCCTAGCCGAGTCCCCCAAGGACTTGTAAGCAGATAGGCTCGAGTCCAGAGGCTAAATTACGCCCCAGGGGACTTTTTAACGAAAATCCTAAATTTCATTTAGGCTGCGGGGGAACACGTGGTTGCACAGACCGAGCCCCGGCGGCGGTGCCGGGCGGACCCCGGGGGAGCCGGTCCCTCCCGGGGGTGCGCCCCTCTGCGGCCGCTACCGCCCCCGGCCCGCTCCCAGCCCTTCCGCTTCCTTCCACGTCCGCTTCCCGGCCCGAGTCTCCCCCCCCCCCCCCCGCCGGCGAGGGGAGTCGGTAATAAGAAACCAGGCCGCGCCGGGAGGGGGTGGGGGAGATAGCCCCAGAGATGCACGGCGCTGGAGAAGGACTCGTTTTGTGCAAAGAGGGCCTCGAGTCACCAGGGAATTCCTGGATTGTCTCAGGCTGTCGCGTGTGATGTCCATCACGCCGTGCGAACGCCATCTGCTCGGCATTAGGCGCTCAGTTGCCAGGCTACCTGCGGTACGCGGAACACTTGACTGCCCGGCTCCACTGCAGCCGCCGCGGCCCCGACTCACGGGGCGGGGGCCGGGCCTGATTAAGCCATCTGCACCGGGCGGGGGCGCGGGCGGCGCGGAGCCTTGGGCCGACACCACCATCTGCTGGGCCCCGGCTAGAACAGCAGCTGCTCCTTGGGCCCCGGCGAGGCGTGCCTGGAAAAGGCTGAAGCCCCGGGCCCCCTCCAGCCAGGCACTCACAAGGCCGCTGTCACCCCAGTCTCATCTCCGCAGGCAGCCTTTTGAGGCCGTCCCTTTGCCGAACCAGCCGCAGTCTTTGGTTTACCGCCAGCAACCTCGGCCCTGCTCACTCAAACACGGAGCATGTTCTTGAAAACACTTTAAAGAAAACATCTTCCCCGCGCGCAGATTTATAAATAAATAGCTGGCTGTGTTTGAGAGAGACTTCTACCACCACTGGTTTTTCTGAAGTCGAAAGCTGCCCTTTTCGGGGAGCTAAGGGTGTTTTTTACACCTCCCACCTCCCCCTTTAGAAAATTGTGAGGTTCTTGTCCCCGGAGGAGATGTGTAAAACAGGTTCATCGGTTTTGATGGCTTGTTCCTCCTTTTATTTTACTGAAGAGTGAGAGGAGTTGGAGAGTAATAAAGATCTATGTAGCCAATTGGAGTTGAGGGGAAGAGAATGCATTGAGATTCTGGTTAGAAAGCAACGGAGGTTGGGCAGGAGCGGAGAGCAAGCCAGTAATTAAAACTAAAAATACTGCATTCTTTGGCTGCAAGGCATTACATGTCGCATGACGAAAGTTCGGCGTGGTTTTCCCTAATTGCACCACACAGTGAGTGTCCTCTTCGGCAACAGGAGCAGTGGCTTGAAATCCTGAAATTTGACAGACTCTTTCTCATAAAGTCTCTGAGACTGTAGCTTAGAAGTGGTGTAGTATAAAACGGTGGCCTTGGCAGTTTAATTTGTAAGGCAGGTCACTTGGGGGGTGTTGGCCACTGGGGATGCACTAGGGTGGGCTGGAGGGGTCCTCACCTGCTGTGGGATACAGCAGGGCTGGTGGGGAGGTCCCACAGGAACTGCGAGGACCCTCCTTCCTGGGGGTTTTGTAGCCTTCAGTGAGGAGCCTTCTGGGAAGGAATCATTGGGGAGAAATTCAATCCCTGGGGAGGAATAGCCTCTTCATCCTTTTCAGAATGTTTTTTCCCCACAGGGGCAAAAAGTGGCTCAACGGGGTCATCATACCATCTGCTGCTCCATTTCCAGGGTGGAGAGAAGGCTAGGAAAGCAAACACCCCCACTTTCTCCATCCCTGGGTACCCTCACCAGCTCCAGGGGGCTGTGGAAAACCTCTTCCCTTTGGGTCTCGTTTTCTCTCCACCTCTCTCCTCCCAGGCTGCAAAATATTAAATATGCTGAAATACACCCCCAAAAACTATGTGTCTGTATTCACACTGATTGGTTCTCTACACTTCAGTGTGAATGCATTTGTTAAAGTGTTAAGTCCATCAGCCATTTGTCTCTAAAGGTGGCAAGAAACAACTTTATCCCATGGGAAAGAAGGACTCAAAAAACAGGTAGCATGTATCTGGGAGAAAAAAAAAAAAACGACCAGATCCCTACAGGGATTGGCCATAAAGTAAACTTTTTGGTAGCATCAGAGTTCCTGGCTCTTTTTTTTTTTAACTATAAGTCCTTTTTGTTAACATTAAAAAATGTGTCCTGCTCTAACTACAGAGAAAAACTTTTATTAACTACAGAGAAAAACTTTTATTAACTTCAGCACCAGCACTTTTATATGCAAAATAGAACACATTATATACACAACAGAAACACTGTATGTTTCATCTACAGATAATTTTTAGGTGCACATTTGGGGCCACAGACCCTTCATTTAGGAAAGGCCAGAGTGAGTAAAAGGAAGAATTAGAATCAAAGTTAGCATTCTTTTTTTTTTTTTTTTTGGTACCAGGAATTGAACTCAGGACCTTGCACTTGTGAGGCAGGTGCAGCACCACTGAGCTAAATCCCTGGCCCCAAAATCAGCATTCTTATCTGCTAGTTATGGGTCATGTGTTTACCAGCTGTATGACCTGGGCTACTACAGAACAGAGCAGAACTTCTTGAGCTATTGTTTCTGGGGCCAGAGGAGAGGTGTGCTGTGTTTTGGTTTTGGTTGTTTTGCTGATTCTGTTTTGCTTGAGTGGAGGGAGCGAGGGAGGAAGGGGGAGAGGGAAGGAAGAATTCCAATGGAAGACGCAGAGCGGGTTGAATTTCATAAGTGGGAAGAAAGGCATACATGGTTCAAGACAGTCAAGAGCCTTGGACCAGGCTTCGGGAAGTCAGACCCAGGACTGCGCTCTAGGGGGTCAGCAGTGGACTTCAAGGCTGTGTTTTGAGAGGAAATGGCCGACGTGTTCACCAACATCTGTAATTGAAAATGTAACAAAGCAAAAAAGGGGAAAGTACTAAGATCCAGTTCAGGTTATGATTTTAAAAATAACTACAGAGCGACTCACATTTGTGTCTTATTAGCTCTTGTAATGTGCTTCACGGTATCGCTGTATGGGTGCCTTTTGCTTTGTATATGCCTCCAAAGTCAGGTCTTCTATGTGCATATTAGTGGCTTGAAATTTTAATTAATAAGAAGGAATATTTCTGTGGAACATTCAGGCAATACTTGCCATTGCCGGATGTACTTGGTAGACATCTCTAGGCACTGAATCTTGTGGTAACACACCTGCTTTTCCTAGAACTGTTCATCCCTAGTGTCCTCCCCTGTCTGGCTGGGTAGACTTTTCTCCTCTGAGGGCATTCTCCAAGGTGTCCCTTGGGCTGTGTGGGCTTAGGTCTCTTACCACTTTACCACCTATTCCCAAGAACAGTCCTTAAAAGTTAGCATCACCATGGTGATGACCATCAGCTTGGTGGTGACCACATGTAATCCCAGCACTCTGGGGAGGCTAAGGCAGGAGCATCATCACAAGTTCAAGCCCAGCCTGAGAAACATAATAAGGCTGCGTCTCAAAAAAATAAAAAGGGCTGGCCATAGCTCAGTACGCAAGCCTTGAGTTCAGTAAAAATATATCAAAGCTCTGAAAGGTTGCAGTTCATATAGCAGATCTGCTAGTTAATAAATTCCAGCAGTCTTCTGCCTGGTTCTCTCCTGCTTGCTAAGAAGACATCTATTTCAGCCAAGTAGACAGTAAAGAGTAAGGATTATCAGGTAAGGTTGGGGCATCACCTTCCAGACTTCACATGAGCCCAGCCTGAGGGCTTTTTCCTTTCCTTCCAGGAACTCAGGATTTAAGTTGAAAACCCAGCCCACAGCCACTAGTCCCTTCTGAAACAGAAAGCTTGCTCTCAGATGTCCCAGAGCTATACTGTTAGTGTCCCGTGTCACCTGTGCAGTTCACTGAGGTAACGCAGGTCTAAGGACAACTAGGTTGTTTTCATGGAAACCCTGAGGTCCACACACCAGGACCTTTGCTCCCTTCTCTTTCCTCACACAGCAGTGAGTGTCCGCGCGGAATCACTGCATCTTTGGATACCGGGGATCGAACTCGGAACCTTGTGCTTGGGAGGCAGGCGGCAGAACCACTGAGCTAAATCCCCAGCCCATCTCTGCCTCTTCTTGCCCCGTCAGGAGCAGCACCCCGTTGGGCTTCCCCGGACCGCAGGCCCCATGCAGCCCTCTGTGCCCCCAGGCTCAAGCAGCCTGGTCTCCGGAGCCAGCCCCTCGGGCCCCGGCTTCCTGAGCAGCCAGCCGCAGGCGGCCATCATGAAGCAGATGCTGATTGATCAGCGGGCCCAGCTGATGGAGCAGCAGAAGCAGCAGTTCCTTCGGGAGCAGCAGCAGCGGCAGCAGCAGCAGATCCTGGCCGAGCAGGTAAGACGCCCCTGTGGCCTGATCCTGCAAGCACAGGCGTGGCACCTTCCATCTGTGAGGGAACCCCAGTTCCCTGTCCTGTGGAGAAGCTCCCAGACCAGCATTTCCCATGATCCTACAAGAACCTATGGAATTTAGACCTTTTCAATTAGCTAGGCTTTTTCCAATAATGAATGAGTTTGTTCTTAAAGACAGGCTTCCAACATCAATTTGAGGCCCATTTGCAATAGACAGTTCTTCAATTCAAGCCTTGCTCCTTTTCTCTTGATTTCTGAGACGAGGGTCTATGTAATCAGCATGAGTGAAGGCTGCTTACATTCTACATAAGCCCTAATATTACTCGCATGAAGCAAAAAAAAAAAATTCAGAGAATTTTGTTTCTTGGAAGAAAGTGGCAGGGAGAGGACTGGGGAGAATTTGACAGACTCGGACATGAACAATAGCAGAACAATAGGGCCTGCAGAACCACCTGGAAATCTGAACTGGGAGTTGCTTACAAGGTACAAAGGTAAGAAAAGCTCTCATGACAGCTTTTAAAACAGCTCAGGGATTCTGTGAGTTAAAGGAAGGCCCAACACAAATATGCCTCTACCTTAGGCATCCTTGTTCCAACCCTGCCGCATAATTTCTCCAGTTCTGAAAGAAAGCCTTCCCTGAAGACCACTCCTGTAGGTTTTGATTTGTTTTGTTTTGAGAGTTGCCGGAGCCTGATTTAGTATCCTCCCTGGGAGAGGCGTGAGGCTGTCCACAGGAGATCTCCAACAGCGCTGTGGGGGCCTGCACGGGCATCTCAGACAGCAGACGCCGTTAGAGGAGGTTGTCATAGAAGTCTGACTCGTTATCTTTCTAGAATGTTCCTAATAGGATCAGAATCTTGGAAATTTACCAAGCGTGCATCACACACAAGCACACGCACACACACATTTATGACACTGTGACATAGGAACAGGCACACTGAAACCCCTACTAAACATGGACAACAGTTCAAAGTAACACCAGTCATCTCCCAAAGAGAAAAACTGTGCTGTTGAGCACAGTTCACTTATGTTCCCTGTTTTTGCTTTTGTTCCTCAACAGCTGTGTAATTATCTCCCTTTTTACCAAGGTCAGTCAGCTGCCTGGCAGCTATTGTACAAACAAACCTCTAGCCCGCTCACCCTGCAGAAGGTGTATGACAAGGAACCATGCTAATATCTCTCCGGCAGTGATAAATGGAGTTGCAGAGGGAAGCGATGCTTTGTAAATCTTCTCCTGAACCAGTGCCAGGGACTTTCAGGTGTGCCTGTTGTGAGTGATGCCTTTTGATAGGTGAGCTGCAACCACCTGGATGAGGGGGATCAGGGGAGTGGGGCAGAATTGACTTTTGCCAGCCCAGCCAGGCCCTGGGAAGGAGAGAGGAGCGGAATGTGGGAAGAGCTGCATAGAAATCACGTCTATAGCCTCACAGACAAGAGAATGGGAGACCCCTGAGAGTCGAGGACCTGGAGATAGAAGCCTCCAAGGAGAAGAAGGGGGGGAAGCGCTAACCTGAGTGTTCTAAAGATTAGAGACCCATGTTGCAGTCACTTTACTCAAGGTGAAAATTTGTCCATTCTTTCACTTGCAGTGTGATTTTGAACAAACTACTTAACCTCTCTCTTCATCTGCCAGGCTAGATTTGAATACAGTGGACCCATGAATTACAACTGGCCTGACATGAGTAACTTGGGTTGCGACTGGAATTTTAGTTTTAACTTACAACCGAAGTCTTAAGTTACGACCCAAATGCTGGCCACTTGTGCTTCCAGATGGTCTTGGATACAGATTTAACCCTTCAAGAGTTCTGGAAAGAACATGACAACATCCTCTCCTGTGTGGGGTTAACTGAGAAATCCTGGGCCAGTGTCTCTCTAAAGACACTGAGATCTGCCTGTGTACAGGAGAGAGACTTTGAAGGCTGTGTAGAGGAGCCTGAGCCTTCAACTGACCAACTTGAGTTACACCAGCCGTCGGGAACAAGTTGAGTTCGTAAGTCAGGGGTCCACTGTACTTTCCCTTGTATAATCTCTGTAAAGACCACACGAGGTGATGTGCGCACGGCTCCTTGGCAGCTGTCTGCTCTGTACACGCGTATATGGGGCCCGTCATGACCCTGGCTTCAGAGAGCATTGTAGAACGGCTGAGGGCTCGGGGGCCAGTCGAGACAGCGCAGTGTGCCCTGGGCCTGGAAACAGTGCGTATTAACTCGGGCTGTCCCCGGGGTCTCTGGGTGGAAAGCTCTCCTCTTTTTGTTTGGAGGCTGAGTATTGGTTGCCACATCAACACCATACTGGTTTCCTCAGGCTCTGCAGCACTGGACATGTCTGGCATTTTCAATTTTAGAAACAGTATACTGGGAACACTCATCTTTCCTAAAAGGACACGTAAGGGGAAACAGAAGCTTCAGCATCCTGTATATCCCTGAGCACTTTAAGCCGATTCTCACCAGACCTGAGAATTGGAGCAGAGCAGGCTGAAAGTGGCTGTGAATTAACATTTAATGCCTTGCTCTCCGAGAGAGCATGTCACCTCTCACCCATTCACAAAGCCTCAGTAGAACTTAAAACTTTAGATCCCGAAGAAACATTTGAGATCATGAAGTCCTATCATATTACAAATGAGGAATCTGAGGCCAGGAAGCCTATGGGGTTTATTTGAGACCACAGAGCTAAAGAGAGGCAGAGCCAGGAGGAAAGTGGACTCCTGACTCCATGCCCGCCCAGCCCACCAGGCCGCTCTTTGTAAGTGGGGCAGTTTGAGTAATATTCGAGGTTTGGCTAAGGAGAAGCTTTGACACACTCTGCTTCCTCTCAATAATGACCTTATATTGCTGAGTAAATGATTCTCATGGTGTCTGGCCTACACCCTAATGATCCACACACTGGTAAGTTTCACTAGCTTTCTGCATGATCCTGTAGTGGGCACACTGGCTGCGGTCCACAGGGCAGAGGTTGTTTTGCTGTTGTTATTATTGTTGTTTTTTCCCCCTTGGAGGCCAGAATGCTGGCTGGCCTCATAGAGAGAAAAAGAAAGGAAATTACAGAGCTGCCCAGGAATAAACATGCAAGAAAAAAATAGAAGTAAACACACGTGGTAGGAAGTGGTCAAGGTGTATTATTTTTGTAATGAACACTCTAAAGAGCAGGGACCTTGTCATATGTTCTTTGCAGCCCTTGTGGATAAAAGGTGCTTCGTGAATATTCAGCAGCTGCGGGAAGGAGGTAACTGGTATCGGAAGCTCATCCAACTACTTGACAGCAGACCTAGAGCTAAAACGTCTTTCTCTGCTCTTTTCACCCGATTCTTCCTTCCTTTCTTTCCCTTCGTACATCCAGCATGGCAATGATCATAGTACCCTGCCCCATGTATTAGTAACAGTGCTCATAGTGTATAATCCCCATGAGTGGAAGAAAGACTGAAACACAAGTATATCCGGAATCCCACGTGATCTCCTCAAAGCAGTAAATGGTGAATATTTTACCTGGAGAGATGTATTTTACAAGCAGTATGGCTTCATGGGAATATGATTAGCCTTCTTTCTTTCATAGCCCCTGAGAATCCCATCTTCCTATGCCCAAAGCATCTATTTAGGTCCTTAAAAAGTTCTTTGAGCTGTGGCCCCATGGTATTAGGGAAGAAGTGCAGGCTGACATTGGGGAGCCCAAGCCAGAACTGCCCACATCCCTGGGAGCCTGCAAGTCACACATTAGAAGCGCAGGCAGATGTTCGCCGGAGGAACTGCAGGGATGTTCATAGCAGTGGTGTTCGTAATAGCCCCAAACTAGAAACCTCCTAAACGACCAGCCCTGGTAGAGTGGGCAGGTTGTGGTGTGTTCATAGGTTAGAACACTGCTGGACAGTGAGGAAGCACAGGCCTCAAATGCCACCTCAGTGGGGATGAATCTCACGGATACAGTGGTGAACGCGAGAAGCCACACACTAAAGTGCCATCGTATGGATCCCTTTCTATAAAGCACAGAAGCAAGCATACCTGTTCTCTGGTGTTCAAAGTTAGGATTATGGTGTGCCTGGGTCATGGGAGGTGAGGGCTAGAAAGGGCCCCAGGGGCTCCTGGCAATGATCTGTTTCTGGATCTGGGGTGCTGGCTACCTAGAGTGTGTTCATTTTGTGAAAATCCATCCACTTGGATTCTTACACTCTGTGTGCTTGTCTGGACGAATGGTACTCTTCAATAAAAAGTTTTGATTTTGAAAAACACCCTCCCTACTTCAGAACCGCTGGGGTGTTTACTGGCATGCTCTCTCCCTACCTCACCCCTTCCCTGTCCTCTGTTGTTCCAGCAGCTGCAGCAGTCTCATCTTCCCCGGCAGCACCTCCAGCAGCAGCGGAATCCGTACCCTGTGCAGCAGGTCAATCAGTTTCAAGGTGAGGTTATCGGGCACCTCTTCCATTTCACACTTCCCAGTTGCAAAGTGGGAGTGAATCTGCTGCCACTGACATTGCCTTACATTCCACATTTGTGTCAAGGTAGTACTCAAAATATTTAACAACTGGTAGGATAAGAAAGCCAGGCATGGTGGCACACGCTTGCAATCCCAGCACTCAGGAAGCTGAGGCAGGATCGCAGCATGAGGCCAGTCAGGGTGACCTCGTAACTTCAAGGCCAATCTGGACTGCAAAGTGAGACCCTGTCTCAAAAACACAACTAGCTTCTTAACAACTAGTAAAGTAAGTTTCTTAACAATTAGTAAAATAAGAGGACCAACCAGTCAGAATGAATTGGTGGAGGAGCCCTTATGCCAGACATTAGCCTTTGGATTACTGTGTCAGGGAGTTCCTACGGGGTCCAGGGCGGTGAGTTGGTTGTGGGAGAGATGGCTCATGCAGCTGTCCTTTACCAAAGGTGCAGGGTATTCAAGTAATTTCACAGCCACTGGGACATACCAGTGCCTGTTGGTCCAGTATCAGCCTTGTTTATGTCCAGAAGGGTAAAAATTATGTGCTGTCTTTCTCACTCATCCCAGCAGGTGAGCTGACCAAAACCCTTCCTTCTACCACCAAAGTGGAAGAATCTGGCTTCCGACTGCTAGAAGACAGATAGGGCCTTTAGGGCAATTACACCTGGCTGATCCTGCTCCATTTGCAGAAAGTCCAAATCAGGGCCCCAGTAACAGTGGCACACGATATATGGGGGCCACCACATTTTTAATTGTAGAAGGCCCATTCCAGTGTCAAACCCTTTTCTCTCCTAGAGAGGGAGCCCTTCCCAGTCCTAACACCAGGAGTTTTCAGGGCCCCATAGAGCTCACCTAGCAGCAGAAATCCTATTTCCCATCTTCTGACTGTGTAGGGGATCTAGATCAAGGTGTCCTTAGCCCTTCGAGAATCTTCTGGAAGCTATGAAGCTTCTTGCGCGAAAATATGCACATACGTAAATGGATACAAACTCTGGCAGCATTTCACAAGTGTTACCCTCCTGGTCTTTATTAATAACCTGGGCGAAACAATTTACCCTGATGTAGGGTAACATTTTTCAGTCTTTGAGTTGTAACACACAAGGCTATGAAAACTCATAGTGGATCACAACCAACATTTTGAAAATTAAATACAACAGAAATTACCGGAGTGTGTCAGAAACTTTTGTTTCTATTATAAACCTGCATGTATATATCCTGTATCACGTACTGTGAGTTGAGGCTTTCACCACTGACGTTTACTGACAGCCCTTACTCCAGAAGGCCTGTGGAAATACGAGGCTTGTGTACTTTCCAGTCTCTTCTGTCCCTGGGCCATTAGCATCACCTTACATTCCCTTCGGACTTGACACGGGGAAGAACAAAAGGAACGGAACTGTTCACAGGTGTCAGGTGCACAGAATCGGTGCCAGTATTCTTTGAAATATTCTTGTTTTGCCATGGGTGGAGGAGAATAGGACAGAGTCATTGAGACACATATCTTTTCGTTTTTGTTTTGTTTTGGGGAGGTGGTTGGTTTTTGGTTTGGGGTTTGGGTTTGAATTTGGATTTTTTTTCCATTTAGGTTCTTCTTTGTTTTGTTTTTGGGGGTTGTTTTGCAGTCTTGGGGATTAAACCCAGGCCCTATGTACTGAACTATATCCCCAGCCTTTTTTTATTTTCAATTTTGAGACAGAGTTTCCCTAAGTTGCTAGGTTGCCCAAACTGGCCTCAAACTTGCAGTCCTCCAGCCTCAGCCTCCCAGAGTGGAATTAACAGGCATGCCCCACCACACCTGGCTGTGACACACATACTTTTTGGGTTTTGTCACAGATCCAGAGTCCTCCTTTGACTTTAGTTCTTAAACTTCAGCTTGCATCAAAATCACCAGCAGAGCTTGTGGAAACACAGACAGCCAGACCCCATTCCCAGAGTTTCTGATTCAGTAGGTCTGGCCTGGGGCCTGAGGATTTGCATCCCTAACATATTCCCAGGAGTTGCTGTCCTACTGGCCAGAGGACCAGAGAATTGCTGCTTTATATTTTGAACTAATTAAAATATAAGATCTGACAAACCCAACACAGTATCCCTTAAATTTTCTAGGTTCATAACTCATTCTTTTTGCCATAAAGGAACTCACTAAAATTTAACAGTGCCTCTGTATAACAGCACATAGACATATGTTTGAGGAGCTCTTCTGAACATGTTGAGCTCAGTTTAAAAGTTCTATTGCTTAAACTTTTCTGAAACCGCAAACCATAGGTAATCAGCCTAGATAGAAATTTAGCTCTGCCATGAGTAAAACATCCAGGGCGATGGTTTAGAGTCCCAGAGCTGACCCTGTAAGATGTAACTTATTTTTACTATGTCCATTATTTTTATGTATTTCACTGACACCCTAGGTACATATTATACATATGGGAAAATAGCAAACTGGTAGATAACAGCTATTGTCCTGGTAGAGAAGCTCTGTTAGGAATAGCCTGCGTGGATCCTACACCACACACTCTCCACCATACATTTCAAAGATCTTACTGGCCACCTTTTGCTCATTGGGGTCTATGCCTCTGCACAGTGCTACAGGCCTATGGAGAAATGCTTATTATTCAAATATAGGCTTCTTGTATGTGAATATAGGACATAGACTCTTTTAGGAGAAAAACTCTGCATATTCTCATCTGTTTGAATATGGAAAATTTTCTTTGACATTGTGATGTTGACCGACAGACAAGAAAAGTAATGTGACCACAGTCTCTCATAATAATATCTGTTTTAGACAAAAGAAAAAGAAAAAAGTCTATTTAACATATGGAATGATCAGGAAAAGACATTTTATTCTTTGGATGCATTTGAATTTTTTTCCCTTGTATATTTAAAATTAACTGAAAGCATAAAACTAGGTTAAAAAAAGGTTTTTTTATTTCACTTAGGTAGAAAATGTTGTACTGATTGATGATTTTTAAATGCTTTCTTTAAAAATAGGAATTACAGGGGCCAGGGATTTAGCTCAGCGGTTTTGCTGCCTGCTGCACAAGCGCAAGGACCCGAGTTCGATCCCCAGTACCAAAAAAAAAACAAACTAGGAATTGCATCTAGATATACAGTCATTGATACTAAGTAAAAATAATGGTTGGCTTTGATAAATGTTTCACTACCTGTTAAAGGGCATTGTAACATCTCTGTCCTCTAAAGAAAAGCACCTATTTCTCACTCATAATATTAGTCCAGACAGTATTTGGTCCTTCAACATATCCATTATAAACCTACAACAAAAATGTCCAAGTTATGAAAGTCCTTTCATCTTTTTCCAGCAGCCATTCACCTAGTCATATAATTTGCATCTCTCCAATCAATCTCTGAGTCACCAATATTTTTCCTTTAAATTTTTTATAAACAACTCAATAACTCATTTCACTATAGCTGATTCCAATTGGCCACGCATTTGATACAAACTTAGTGGTTAAGGTCACAAAACTGTATAACCAGATTACAAGTTGCAGGTTATGCTACCATCCAGTATTTAACCAAGAACTTTTGATTTTTCAGAAAATCACTGGAATATAGTTAAGCTTAAAATCAAAAACTAGAATATTTTTGAGGATTTGCTATAGATCTTTCAGGTTTCCTCACAGGTTTCATTTTCAGTGCAGCATGATATTGATCCCAAGTCACAAAAATTTAAGTCATAATCAGAATTCCCATAATTTTCTTTCTTAAAGAAAGGAAGAAAATATGGAGACATATTTGCCGCTCAGAAATCAATAATCCCATCAGGAAAACAAAAACATGCCTGAGCTATCTGTCAAGGTGCTGGGTTTAACAAGGTTAGACTGTTCTCATCCGGTTACTCATCACGGCTCTAGGTGGGATGAAATTTGCTTATAATATCGATTGGCAGCCATGCTGCATCTTCTTTAAATGTCCAGGACCAAAAAAATTTTTTTTCTTTTCCTCATAGACTTAATCCTTAGCAGGAACATGGAAAAATCCATTTGGGGGCGCCTCCTAGCCCTTTCCAACATTGACAGTTGTTCTATGGATGACATTTCCATTCCCTGTCTGGTTTGGACATGTCCTGGGACCCTATAAAGCAAGACTCACTCGAATACCTCACTGAAGTTGACTGACTTGGTATTGTTACTCTGCCCAACTTTTAAACATTATCACTAACACTGATCTGCAGAGAGAGGTACAAGGTCGTTGCCACTTTTGACAGGGTGGACTCTACCACAGAAATCCAGGGTTCATTGGCGATTAGCAAGTAGCAAGATTTCTTTTTCTAGCCCCGGAAGCTGACTGGTTCCCACTGACATGTTATGACTCAGAGAATCTGGAGCATGTGGAAATCTAAGAAGTGGCTCTAAAAAATGTCTCATCTGGGCCGGGGATTTAGCTCAGTGGTTTCGCCGCCTGCTGCGTAAGCACAAGAACCCGAGTTCGATCCCTGGTGCCCAAAAAAAAAAAAAAAAGTCTCATCTGTCAAAACAGCTTCTAGGCAGAAGTGATGACCTTTAACCTCTCAAATCCTACTCAAGTCTTGAGGGAAATCAGCCTAACGGTTTCCATTCATAATACTCTCTGCTGAACCATGTTCCGCTTCAATAATAGAATATGCGGATGATCAGATGGTCCTTCACCCCTCACCACCAAAGAAAATAATATCTCATTGGGTTGATGGCATCATATCCAAGAGTGAGGAATAAATTGCCTCTGAAGCATGAATAAAAACAATACTGGGGGTTGAGGCTGGGGCCTTAGCTCAGTGTTTCCACCACCTGTCTCACAAGGGCAAGGACCTGAGTTCAGTCCCCGGTACCAAAAAAAAAAAAATAATAATAATAATAATACTGGGGGCCCGGGGATTTAGCTCAGTGGTTCCGCTGCCTGCCTCAAAAGCACAAGGTCCCGAGTTCGATCTCCAGTACCAAAAAAAATAATAATACTGGGGTATGTGAAGTGGAAAAGTCAACTACAAAAGACATGTACAGTATGATCCCAATTTTTGTGTGTTTATTTATCCAAGAGCTGATCAAAAATGTGTAGGGGCCAGGGGATTTAGCTCAGTGGTTCCACCACCTGCCTTGCAAGCGCAAGGACCCAAGTTTGATACCTAGTACCCAAAAAAAAGTATTATGAGGTAAGTATGTTTGAAGAATGGTTTGAGTATTTTGAGGGGAATTAATGGCAACGTGTCTTAACTGTAATAACTTTTTTAAATTTAACATTCACTGTATTTTTCAATCACACCTCACAAAAGAAGAGTTAGCAGTGGTCATCTCTGAACAGTGGTGATTTGGTTACTTTAATTTTGTCTGTGTCCCTTTCAATACTTTACAAATTTTTTATTATCAACATGTTATATTCAGAAAAATAATAATTGTTTTTTCTTAACACTGACATCAGAATAGATCTTTCCATACAGAAAAACGTTGTCGTTCCCGGGGAAGAGTCCAGCACAGGTTACAGTGTGGTGCTTTTGGAGAAGAATAAGTGATTTGTGTCCTTTCTTTCCCTGTAGGCTCCCCCCAGGACATCGCAGCCGTGAGAAGCCAGGCAGCCCTCCAGAGCATGCGGACATCACGGCTGATGGCACAGAACGCAGGCATGATGGGAATGGGACCCTCCCAGAACCCAGGGACCATGACCACAGCTGCGGCCCAGTCTGAGATGGGCCTGGCCCCTTACAGCAGCACGCCCACCAGCCAGCCAGGAATGTACAACATGAGCACAGGGATGACCCAAATGTTGCAGCACCCAAACCAAAGTGGTATGAGCATCACACATGGCCAAGCCCAGGGCCCGAGGCAGCCTGCCTCAGGCCAAGGCGTTGGGATGGTGAGTGGCTTTGGTCAGAGTATGCTGGTGAACCCCACGCTTACCCAGCAGCACCAGCAGATGAAAGGACCAGTGGGCCAGGCCCTGCCTAGGCCCCAGGCCCCACCCAGGCTTCAGAGCATCATAGGGACCATCCAGCAAGGAGCACAAGGCTGGCAACAGAGGAGCTTGCAGGGGATGCCTGGGAGGACTAGTGGAGACTTGGGACCTTTCAACAATGGCACCAGCTACCCACTCCAAGCTGGCCAGCCCAGACTGACCAAGCAGCACTTCCCACAGGGACTAAGCCAGTCAGTGGTGGATGCTAACACTGGCACAGTGAGAACCCTCAACCCTGCTGCCATGGGTCGGCAGATGATGCCACCCCTCCCAGGGCAGCAAGGCACCAGCCAGGCGAGGCCAATGGTCATGTCAGGCCTGAGCCAGGGCGTCCCTGGCATGCCAGCCTTCAGCCAGTCCCCGGCACAGCAGCAGATGCCCAGCGGCAGCTTTGCCCCAAGCAGCCAGGGCCAACCCTATGAGCGGAACCCCCCTCAGGACCTGTCGTACAGTTACAGTGGTGAGAGTGCCGGGGCTTCCTTCCCAGGGCTCACAGACAGTGGGGACCTCGTGGACTCCATCATCAAAGGCGGGCCGGGGGACGAGTGGATGCAGGAGCTTGATGAATTGTTTGGTAACCCCTAGTCCTAAGGGGTCCCGAGAGCCACAACTAGAGTGGTGAAAGTTTAACTCGTGAAAAAGAAACAGGATGTTGACCCATCCTTGTTTTTTGTTTTTTGACCCACGTAAACTGAGCAAAACTGCAGCTGGCTGGCAGTGGAAGATCCAGGTGTCAATCAGCCTTTCGGAGCCTCTGTGCACCTGATTTTCACACAGCAATCAAGATGAGACATCCTGCAGGTCCCTGCTCCTAGAGAGGGCCCCCCGGGGGTCAGGTAGGGAAGATGCCAGCAGCTGAAGCCCCTCTGCTCAGCAGCCCTTGTGATCGCCTGGCCCAGCAAGAGCTGCTCCAGCCCACAGGGACTGCCGGCCCTCCTGGCCCAGGCCCAGGGACTGTAGACTTGGAGACAGGAGACATAGAGCCTCAGTCAAGGAGACCCTCCTAGAGGCTGCCGGACCGTGGCACAGGCCATGGGCACAGGTCAGAAAGGTGCTGAATCTGGGTAAAAAGAGCTGTCTGCTTCCAGACTTGCTTGGTACTGGAGGAACAGCAAGCCGCTCCCAGAGAGACAACCAAGGATCCAGCAGGCTGGTCTCCCCGCCCGTGATGCCCCTCAGGCGTTGTGAGGCCACCCACAAGGAGAGCCAGCTGAGCTTGAGAAGGCCCAGCGCTGGAACAGCCCTCCACTGGAGGCTGTGGTAGCTGTCCTTGCTGTTTGGACTGGAGCCGCAGGGTTCCCAGGACAACGTGCTACATCCAGGTGGTTTTCTGCTTCTGACAGTGACGAGGTGGAGAGACCTCTGCTGCATTCTGAGTCCGCCACCGGGCACCTCCCTCCCCCATCCCACCTGCCCTTGCCTCTCCTTCCAGACTCGCCAAGAAGTGAGGCTTTGGGCAGAGTGAACACCAGTGCAAGAACTGAGACAGTGCCTGACATGCAGAGGCGATGCTGGCGCGTGCTTCCTCCGACACGTATAGAGTTGAACGAGTGTCTCTGCTTGGAACTGAGCAGGCTGTGCTGGTGTTACGTCTCCCCTTTGAGGAAGGGCCTGGAGGGCGGTAGGTTGGGCTCCCTTTGGGAAAACCCCAGGGGCGATTGCTCTAAAATTGGCCTTGTTCATCGTCTCTGTCGTCAGAAAGACAAATATAAAACCCCAAAGATGGATGAACAGAAAAATCAACAGCTCTGCCATACCAATTTGGGTGACAACAGGGGGGGAAGACTTGCTTTCTTTCCTAAGGGCAAAGTAATCCACTTCAAAAGTTCTGTACAGTTGTTCTCTTTGTAAATCACTCACATCTGCCCTAAGTGAAATCTGTCTCGAGGAGCCAGCAGCTGCCACTGTCACAGGCTTGTCTCCTGGTGTCTGCCTTCCCTCCCACGGTCCTATTTTGGAGGCTGTGTGACACAACTACTGTCCTGAGTGTGAGTGGCAAATGTTTTCCTCCTTCCCTGTCCCTCCGGGTTTCACATGCTGGCTCTGTCTGTGCAGCAACACACAGCTCACCGAAGACCAGAGCTTGGAGGGCTGGACTGGCTGCACTCCGGGCAAGTCAGGCCCCGTGGGAAGCGGAAGGCTGTGAAGAGGAGACAGGCAAGTGCTGCCTTTGACCTGCTCTCCGTGAGCCCTGGGTTCTAGACCTGCCTACCGAGGGCAAAGTGAGGCCAGAAACACTGGGCTGATGGGCCAAGTGCCCCCTCCGAAGAGTGGTGGCAAGGTGACTTTTTGAACTCTTATCAGTGGGGAGAGATGCCACCAGGAAAACAGATGAAAACCAAAAAGTAAAGCTGAAAACACAAAATACAGAATTATTACCTTTTCCTGCAAGGTCCAGGAAATAAATGTATAAGCAATGATGAGAAGCTGGAGGTGGGTGAAGGAGAGAGGGGTTTCCATTATCTTTTCAAAGCTGCCTCCAAGTGCTTAGTACTGGGACCAACTCATAGAGAGGTAGATTTTCATAAGGTTGTTTTGTTTTTACTACGGTGCTGATGTATATGTAATGTCTAAAAGAAGTTATTTGTACATAAGTTTTTACAATACTGCAGATATCACTGGGTCTACTATCTGTAAAAAATATACATATAAATATATATATACTGTTTGTTTAAAATAGAGTATTTTTATTTCATTCCTTAACTCATCATCACAGCAGTGGTATTGCACTTCAGACAACATCTAATTACTAATTTGTACTGTATGACCTACAGCAACTTGCTCCATTTTATTCAGATTTTTCTAGTTTTCTGTTTTGACTTTGTACATTGAGCACTGCTTATTTCCTTTTAAGAAATGTACAGAATTCTGAAATGTAGAAATGAAGTGATGTTGACATACCACTTTTAAAGAAAAAAAATAAAAGATCATTATCTGAATCAATCCAAAGTATACTTCATTTTAGGATCCTCATATTTTAGTCTCCAAAATTCATCAAGCAGATATATTGTACCTGGAATTTAACTGAATCATCGTGGTTCTTTTCTCAAAACTTTCATGTCATTATTTAAACATGTAGCAATGGAGATCAGTCATTCTCAGCCCTTTCAATTCAACCAAATTGAAACTTTGTAAATTTGCTGAGCACTCGGAAGGTGTGGCCAAGTCTATTCTGCAAGGGGCATACCGAGGTCCATTCGTGGATTCAGCACCACAGCAATTCAGTTGCCAACTGGCTCATTCAGAGATTCAGAAAATGGATAAGGAAATGATTTTATGGGGAAAAAGTCAAGGTATACACTGGAGGGCTGTAATGCAGAAGTCTTGCCCCTACAGTGGAGGCAGTTAGTAACATCCCACTCGCTCGTGTGTCTTACCTCTCCCAGCCCGCACTGCACGGGTCAAAGCCATGGTGCAGCCAGCTTTGCCTGCACTGCCACCACCAGAGTGGAAAGTGCTTGCAATTCCACACCCCACCACTGGTGCAGGCTGGTGAGAGCCGGTTTACCTGTCTGGAAAAACCAAGACAGAATGTATGCTCCAGACTCCTGCAGATCAGACAGAGCCTGGGACCTGGCGTAGCTCCTTCCCCTTCTCCGTCCTGCTTCCCCACTCCTTTGCCTTGTCTCCCGCTGAGCCCTTTCTTAACCCATTCCGTACAGGCGAACCCATTTCTCCACTTCCGGGAGACCTGTCCTAAGATCCCCGTCAGACTTTACAAAGCATAGTAAGACAACATATCTCAAAACCATCTGGATTAAGCTGAGGAACAGACCGTAGAATAAAGCCATCATAAAAAAGGATCCAAAATGAAGCTGAGCTTTAACACCGATCAAGAGTTGAAATGAGTTTACAAAAGAGGCTGGCCCTGCCCACGGCGAGCATTCCGTCCAGTCTCCCTGGCAGAGAATACCGTGGAGAAAGCAATGTGACAATGGGTTTGGTCCCTGTGACACGGGCTCAGGACTACTAGGTAACATGGGGAGAAAAGTGAACTGATTCGGGGTACAGGGAAGGCTCTGGGAAGCCAAGCATAGGGGTAAAAGCAAGAAGCTCTTGAGAACAGTGGATTACTCCTCCTAATTCTGACTAAAATGCACGGGATGAATGGCCAGCTTTCTCCTTTAAGATGATTTCATATCTGTAATCTCAGACATTATAAAGTACATGTCAAACAAAAGGGGCAGATGCAGATGACCTGATATTTTTGCTTATTAATGACTGTTTAGTCAAATCCCATTGACTTCTCTTTTTTGGTACTGGGGCTGGAACTCGGACCTTGTGCTTGCAGGGCAGGCCAAGAAACCACTGAGCTAGATCCCCGGCCCCCTACTGACTTCTAATCGTGAAAAGCAGGGAGGAAAACTGCCTGAGAACAGAAATACCTCTTTGCTATTTGTGTGAGCAGTGGGTTTTTTTTATTGTTATTTGTTTGTTTCTTGCTGGGGATTAATCCCAGGGCCTTTCCATTGAGCTACATCCCCAGCCCTTTTTCTATTTTTTAGTCTGAGATAGGGTCTCGATAAATTGCCAGGCTGGCCTGGCACTTGCTATCCTCCTGCATCAGCCTTCCAGAGTGCTGGGATTATAGACATGTACCACCACACCCAGCTTCATTTTCTTTGGATTGTTTTCAGTCTTCTCTGTTCTGTTCTTTATTACACTCTAAGGACATGAGATTCCCATTCTGGTGTCCTGTGGACGAAGCTACCACAGGTACATGTCTCATTTCCCATAGCTCAAGGAAGAAATCACAGCTTCTGAAAACCTGAGGCCCAGTGTCCCTGCCCACATCCAAAATGTCAGAGAGAGGCCCCTTAGCAATGGCCATAGCTGTATGGATGCCATCCCCAGTCAGAGCTCCCATGTGCAACACAAGAAACTTTGGAGCTACCCAAAACTTAATTTAAGGTTATAACTTCTCTTACGATTTCTAACTTTTTACTATGCATATTCTCAAACAATCATGACAGTACGAAGAATACCTATACACTTAGCAACTGGATTTAATCATCATGAATACTTTCCACAGATGCTTCACATGCATATCTGTGGAACCATTTACACCTGACCACTTCACCCTCAGTGCCTCAGCCTTGCAGCTTCAAAGAATCTGGACATTCTCTTCCCTGGCCACAACACCATTATCAACATGAATTCCCTAATACCTACTTCTCACTCCAAATGCAAACCACCTCAGTTGTCTTACATGTGCACACTGTAGCTTGGTTTTTCTAACTCACATTTGATCAAAGATCTCATGCTGCCCTTTGATTTTTCTGCCTCTTCAGGCTCCATTAACAGAGAAAAATTCTCTGTCCCTTCCTTCATGACATTGACTTTTTTAGGAAGTGAATCTGATTTCTAAAAATAAAATTTTTCATTTTACTAATATGCAAAAAAAAATGTATGTACAACCATCAGATCAATCGGAAACTCAAAGCTCTTTGGCCACATGTTTGCTCCCTTTGGGCAAATCTAATAAGGATAAAATAATCAAGAGGTTGCCTGGTGACACAGGAATTAAAACAAAGGAAACAAATTCCCTTGTAATGTCTAAAGACACAAAGCTTTGATAGTGTACAACCATTGCCTGTTTCTAAATGTTGTCTATTCAAACCAATTTAGGTGCTTTAAAAATCCTCCGGTATAAGAATAGAACTTCTCTAAAAATCCTAAAGTAAAGAAACAATCCTAAAGTATAAGATTTGGAAAGGTTTTTGTTTTTGTTTTTCCTACTTCCAAAGGACAGGGTTCTGTAGTGATAGTGCTGTAGAGTCCAAAACTTGTACCATCTTCCTTCACTGTCTTTGGTGACTAATAGAAAATCTCAGGATTCAGGCCACTATCATAATGGACAAGAATATCAAGTGGATGGGCCAAGGATTTAGCTCAGTGGAATCATGCATGCCTGCCTCGAAAGCACAAGATCCTGAGTCCAATTCCCGTTACCACACAAAAAAAGAAAGGATATCAAATGAAAGAGTATAGGATCACAGCATTTTACCATATTAGCCCCATTTTATCTTAACAGAAAATGAAGTCTAAGAGCTATGAAGCACTAGGGTGCCACCACCAGCAGGTGGCAGGACAGGGAGGGTGGTCTGGCCCCGGAGTCTCTACCAGTTTGCCACACGACCTCTTATTGATGCTGGCCTCAACCAGAGCCAAACAGCCAGCATGGGGGGATCCTAGACCAGCATCCAGACCACTACATTCTCACGCACTGTGTGATATTTAACACTGCTATTTGGAATCAGGGCTGGACGCATCTCCCTCCTCCACCACTCTGGAAACGCTACCATTTAGATGCATTCCTTCCTTTTCCTATTATTCATGGCTTTTGTAACTGCTTCTGTCCCCATTGTCCGCATCTGGTGAGATGCCCTCACCAGAGTCAAAGCTGTCTGATTTTCTCTGGGAATATTGTTGGAGGGCTCCTTTCCTAATGCTTTCCCTAAGGTCTTTGAAAGCTTTAGATAGATTCATTCCCATTTTACAGATGAAGACAATGAAGGAATGTCGAATGCATTGTGCTGGGCAGGGTTGCACCTCAGAGTTGGGACAGCCACACGGTCCATCCTGAGTCCGGCCTCCAGCCCATGGGATGCAGATGTGCACTGGAGTCCGGTCAAGATCTCCCATCAGCAGGCCCCTCCTCCTCTGCCCTGGTGCGAAAATACTCAGCCCTGCTCCCAGGGTCTCCTCAAAATGATATGCTTTCTTTCCTTTGTTCTTTATAAAGCACATTTTCACAGCCAGATCTGCTTCTTGCCATTAGCTGGTGACTCTGGCTACTTTGTGTGTCTGCCTGGCTTCCCCCACTCGCAGCACCAGCGCGGGGGAGGAGGGGCTGCCTTCCCAGCATCTATCTGATACCTTCCACCAGGACAGAAGCTGTCGCAGAGGCAGGCTACCGGAGGTGATCCTCGGAAAGCTCAGCACGCAGGTCAGGCTGCTCTGTCCCCACAAAAGAGATCTAAAACCGGAGCTCCGCCCACGTCCGCTGATCGCTTGCCCGGACCACCCCCGCGATCCAGCTCTTACACAAACAGGAAATGTGCTCCCTAAAGGGTGTGTTTGCACAAAGCCATCTCAAGAAAAACAAAACGGAAGACTTTAAATTTTTATTTAACAAGCAACACGGTGTTACCTTCAGAGTGGAAAGAGCTTCCGCAAACATGAAAGTGAAGGAAAGAGAAAAAGTTAGAAGTATCGCCTCAGTTGCTTGGCAACATGGATGTCCAGGTATTCATCCAGAAAGCTGTTCGCAATCCCCAGGGCGCCGAGGACCCCCAACAAGCCCAAAGTTCCCAGGCTCAATCGGAAACCACTGATCCTGCGGATGGACAAAAGGGACAGGAGTGACAAGCCGGCTGTAATGAGGAAGCTGGGAGACCCGGCACGGGTTTCTCCTTGCTGACACTGCCCAGAACTCCTATGCTTCTGCCATGTGAAACTGTGGTTCATCGCGTAAATGGAAGTGTGTGCCTGGCCCAAGACTAAAGTTGGCTTCTTTGACCAGTCAAAGGACTATCGCGGCTGAAACCAGGATTCTTTTCCTGATATCTTTCTAGAGACACTGGAAAATTATTCCTAGGGCTGAATGAACATGGGCAGTGCACAATTTTTGTGTTGCTGTTTTGTTTGGATTGAACCCAGGGCCTTCTCACTGAACTACATCTCCAGACCGTTTTTAATTTTTTGAGACAGAGCCTTGCTAATTTACTAAGTTGTGGACCGGGAATTTAGCTCAGTGGCACTGCACCTGCCTCACAAGCACAAGGTCCTGAGTTCGATCCCTAGTACCAATAAATAAATAAATAAATTACTAAGTTGCCCAGGATGGACTCAAACCTGCAGTCTTCCTGCCTCAGCCTCCCACAATGCTGGGATTATAGGCATCCACCACCACACCCACCTCAATGCACAGTTTTATGCCTGTGGTTCCCCATCTCCTGCTTGGGTCACTATTGCCACCATGCCTCTCGGTGCTTTTCTTAATACCAGACGTCACCCTGCTACATCCTGCACAAATCGCCATTACTAGGTTTCTCTTACCTTTTTTCAGCAGCTTCTGAATATCCCCAGAAGTACTTGTGACGGCTATATATGTACACCAGCCCCAGACAAGTAGCAAAAACTGCAGAAGGGGAAGAAGAAAAGCTATAGAATATGATAGCAGTCTTTCAAAATGAAGTGTGGAGACTGAGACTATTTATAAAATATGTATATGACAAGATACTTATAACACAGAATGTATAGAGAACAATTACAATACAGTTTTTAAAAACTTAGTTTTTCATATGGACAAAATGTTGGAGTAGACAGTTCACTGAAGAAGATACACAAATGTGCCAATAATCACACACAAAAATATTTCCATGAGTTTCAACATTAGCAAAGTGCCACTTAAAACTACTACTCTTCACACCCACCAGAATGTCTAAAATTTTAAAAGACCAACACTATAAAATGGTGAGGCTATGAAGCAACTGGAATCCTCATAGATCACTGGCAGGAATGTAAAATAGTTGTATTAATAAGCTTTGATGTGACTGAGATACAATACCCAACACTCACAAGTGGAAAAGAGGTTTAATTCAACTCACAGTTTGAAGGGTTTCAGTCCATGGCTAGTTAGTTAGCTCCAAGGCAGGAACATCATGGCCTAAGAGCATGGTGAAGCAAAGATGCCTTGCTCATGGGGTGGCTGGGAACCAGAGCAGGGAACACAGCCAGAGAGGAAGAGGCCGGGAAATAGAGATGGACCCAAGGTCAGGTTTCCACGGCATTCCCCAAAGTGCGCTTATTACTCTCCTAGGCCAATTGAGCTGACACAGTTAAGCTTACCCCCCACAATAGAACAGCTACTTTGGGAAAAGTTCTGGTAATTTCTTATAAACCAAGCATCATTTTTGCTGGGAGCAATGCACTATAGATCATTATGGCCAGGCCTAACTTGCCTACTCCCGCGGAAGGTGTGGTGGAGCAAAGCCTGGCCGAGAAGAGGGCTACCTTCCTTCCTACCCATTCGCCAGAGAAACATCAAGCATTATCTCCAGCAGACCCTTGCCATTCTCCCTGCTCCAATCAGGCATCCCCTTTCGGTTTCCTTATCTACATTATAAATAAAGGTGCTGAGGACACAAGCCAAGATTTTTGTCTCATACGGACAAAGAGTTTCCACCTGGCCTCAGCTATGTAAACTTTACTGTCCTCTTTGTCTTCTTTGTCTTATTCTTTAAGTTTCTTAAGCTCTCACAGTTGTTTCTCACTCCGTGAACCCTTGAGCCAAGCAGGTTGTGGCACATTTTACCCAACAATTCCATTTCTATGTCAATAAGTCCCTGACTTATGAATATTTGAGTTGCAAACTTTCACCAGTGTACTGTATAAGACTCACTTCGTTGGCTTATGAATGAATTTGACTTATAAATAATTCTCCTGGAACAGAATTTGTCCAAAAGTCAGGGACTTACTGTATTTGACCAAGAGAAATGAAACCATGTCTGTAAGAAAAGTTCACTGAGTACAAGAATGTTCATTGTAGCTTTATTCACAGCCAAAAATTAGAAATGGCCTAGAAGTCAGTCATGAGGAAAATGAATAACTAAGCTGTGACAAGGGAATTCAGTGGAATGCTACTCAGCAATGAAAAAAAAAAAAAAACAGATACTCACACCAGCATGGGGAGACTCACTGTTGGGACAGCCAAATGAGCTATTAAAGGGTTGGAGGAAGTAGGTCACTAAGAGTGTGCTTTTAAAGGTATATCTTTTAGGGGGCTCTTACTGATCTCTCTGCTTACTAGCTGCCCTGAGGTGAGCAGCTTTACTTGGCCACACCCTTTCCACCATGATGTTTCTGCCTCATCACAGCCATAAAGGCAACAGATCCAGATCACCATGGACTGAGACCTCTGAAACCATGAGCCAAAATAAACCTTTCCTCCTTTAAATTGGCTTTCCTCAGATATTTGTCACAGCAACAAAAAGCTGACCATTATAGCCAGGGTCTTGAAGGGCAATGAAGTAGCAGAGTGACCTAGCATCTAAGGAAGTTTTAAAATGCGTGCTGTCAGATTTGAGAATTACTGTCCCTATCTACTGAATTACTCCAATAAAGCCAATGATAATGCTAAAGACAGCTAATAGGCAACTTACTTTGCAAGAAAAAAATGAAAAGAAAATTATGACAAGATACCCAAGAAGTCCTTTCCTGCCGGGAGTCAGCCTTACTTAGATCATCATGGGGAAGCCGAAAGGGTCAAATGGCAGAAATGGGATCCCATTATCAAAAAGCACTTTTCTTATTAGTTGTTAATATGCTCTTATGTGACAAGGACCAGCCACTTTCATTCATGGAATTAAGGAACAAAAGTGTGAGTTGAAATAAAGTTAAAAGGTCTTTCTTTAAAGGTCATTTACCTGAAATTCCCTAAGTGACAGTAAAAATTACAAGAAAGAGATGGATGGCATTTCCTCTAGAAGCAGCTGAATTTTGGTTTATTTAAATCTCAGCAATCAAGTGCAAATCCAAATGAGGCCATGAAAGTTACCAGAAATCAAAGAGAATTAAATTTCTCCAAGTAAGGTACCTGATACAGGTCTGACTCCCTGGGAATGAATAGGCAAAGTTAGGATAAAGCCCTCAGCTCACCAGGGATACCTTACTCAAGTGAAGAGGGATGTTCATGGAACTGCTACGGATAGTGGAACTATATACTTGCAGACCCTTTGGGACTGGTACACTGGGCTTTGGGACAAATATCCATAGACCCTGCTGCGTATTTGAAAGGGCAATTTTACTTGCATCGGTGAATGACATGTTGGACAAATTACTTAACCTCTCTATCCTTCAGTTTTTATGTCTGTAAAGTAGGAATTAATTAAACTTTATTTCATATAAAAGGCTTAAATCTTATGAATCTTACACATGAGAGTTAAACCTTAAGAACAGTGTCTGGTACATAGTAAGTGCTCAATAAATATTAACTATAATTATTAAGGTGTTTTGTTAATTCTGTGTTCTGTTCCTTCAATTAAATTAGAATTATATAATTTCATTTGAAGACTAAGTTCATGTGATTTTTATCAAGTGTCCAGCAGATAGTTTATTCCAAGCTTTTTTTTATTATTTAGTTAAATCATAATGAAGCCCAAGTTTGGATATCTGCAACAGAAATGTATGTAGACATTTCCTTATTTTGTTTAAAATAGTTGCGAGGGTCAGTAGCTGTCAGTTGCCTACCTGCTCCTCTTGATTTTAAGCACAACGGTCATCATTAGAACTGTGTGTTCTATGATTACCTTGATTGAAATACCATCCAGCCATCCACAGTGTAATCAGGAATACGGGGTAAAACTCCACACAGTTTTGTCTGCAGGAAAAAAAAATGGCTTAATTTATGAGAAACTATGCATGAATGCAATGGCTTTTATCTGGAGGCATACATCCAGTGTGTAACATAAAAATGATCCTTCTACTACAATGAGTCTTTCGAAGCAGGCCTCAAACATTGGTGAAACCTCGGAGCAAGTCCAAGAAGAATCATCATCCTACACAGGCTTTGCAACTAGTGGAAATGAGTCATAGCTCTTTTCTAAAAGGCAGGTCTCTTATGTCTAAAGATCATTCTATGTCTTATCTAAATAACCCAGGAGCTTACTTAATTCATATTAAACAGATTTCTCCTCAAAAACTCCCTTACATCCATTGCCTTCCACTTGAGTGACTCAGAACATTAGAAGATGGTCTTTAAATAATTCCCCCAAAACTTTCTGAAGGAAATGAATGAACACATTTAATTCCCATTTTATAGACCAAGATACTAAGGCCCAGGGCCCAGGCTGACTGATGCCTTTCAGAGAATCAAAAGTACATGGTGTCCATCTCCAGGTTCAACAACCCTGCCCTAACATCCAGTCAAATTGCCTCTATTCACAGAGGACTTGGATGGAAGCCTTGATATGACTTCGAGCACAAGGGAATAACTTTCTAGGAACTCTAATTAATTCCTCTGCACCCACCAAAGAGGAAAAAAAGATGAAATTATATTCATCCTTCTTCCTGAACTACACCCCCAAGCCAGCTTGGTTAGGTTGGCTAAGTTCTTTGACAACTAGAAAGAACTTTACTGCATTGATAATGAGGTCCGTATAGAGGCTGGCAGAAGAGTCATATCCACGGGGTTGCAAGGACTTCACATCCTTCTTAAATAAGCCGGAAAGCTTGGCTACTCAAGGCTGGGAGGCAATTGACCCAGAAGGAGTCAATGGTGAAGACCTAGGTCTTTCAGTTCAGGTCACTGTGAATGATTTATTTTCCTTAATAAAAAAAAGAAAACACAAATACAAAGCATATCTCTTTCCTTATTTTCCACTGTTGCACCGGAAATTGTGGCCAGGTCAGCTCAACCTCTTCCGCAGATGCCTCAACTATATACAACACAGCTCCCCAAGTCATTCCACTGTCCCTTAGTAATCAGTAAAAAAAGGGCACAATTAGCAAACTCGGTGCTCATTCAAAGCCCATGGCCAATGTCGAGTCCTGACGCACAGTAGAAAATTGTAACCTCACCAGTAAAGCAACACAGGCTCCCCAAAGGGCTCTGGGAGGGCCAAGGGGGTGATCATCAATTCCCTGGAAACTCAGAAATGGATAATGTGAATGCAAAAACGCTTTCTTCTGCCTTTTCTTACCATTGTCTTTAAGTCCCACAAAGTCCTGAATGACCCAAGGAAGGACCGATCTAGAAGCTAACACTGATATTCTCACAAACCAGAGCCACCATTCTAGCACAGCGAGGTAGCTGAGACTGCTCTTTCTGTAGCACCCATCCTTGGCATGATTTTGCTTCTGATAACTGTCTTTTTTCTCAATGTCTTCTCTAGCTTTATAAGTGGCTACGATAAGTTAAGTGGAAAGATACCTTATAGATTTGTGTACTCAGAGCAACTGTAGCTCCCCACAAAATAAACAACTTCCCAATACTTTCTTTTCCTTGGCTACATCCATAGAGCTATTTTCCATGAAACAAAAGAGAGGAATAAGCCCTGCAGTATGGTTTCTATCTAGATAGAAAGTACTCATGCACTCATAGGTGGGGCTTTGGGTAGGTGATTAGACTACAGGAGCATGATACTCGTCCGTGGATTTGTCTACTGATGAGTTTACAGCCAAAGGTGATGTTGGAAGGTGAAGCCTGGTCAGAGGAGGAGGTGGTCACTGGGGGCGAGGCCTGGGAGGGTCTATCTTCTTCCCTCCTCTCTTGATCTCTCTCTGCTTCTGCCTACCATACCCTGAGCAATTCCTCTCTGCCATGGCCTTCTGCCATGCTGCCCTATCTTAGAGCCAGCCAACCATGGACTGAAACCTCTACAAACTGTGAGCTAAATAAACCTTTCCTCCTTTAAGGTATGGGTGCTGGATATTGTGTCTTGGTGACAAGAAAGTAACTAAGACGCTCAGCCTGGCCAGTGTAGCGACTTAGTGAGACACTGTCTCAAAATTTTTTAAATTAAAAAAATTTTTAAAGGGGCTAGGAACGTAACTCAGTACAAAGGGTTCAACCCTGAGTATTACAAAAAGAGAGACTCACACATGCACAGAGCAGGGTGGGGGAGAGGGAGACTAGTAAATGTGCTAATCTAGAATGTGCTAATCTTTCTACATTCACTGGAATTTCATTTGATCCTTTTGGGGCCTTAACAAGTGCCCCGTCATTTATTAGGCTTTATAATGTACCTAAATTATTCCAAATGTAAGGATTCAGTTTTTCCCCAACATATTTTAATTCAAAATTAGCTGTGATGATATTTTTGAGCATCTTCAAAAGCACTGCATTCTGGATGTTCAAATGGGAAGGGGAACAAGGGAGCAAGAGAGGAGGGGAAAAGGCAAAAAAAGAGAATGGAAGGGAAAAAATGGAAAGAAAACTGTTGTAAATGAGGAGGGGAAGAAGAGTTGAAGGGAGGGGAGAGGAATGGGGAAAAAGAAGAACCAAGATATATTATGTACAGGAACAAATTCCCTATGATGTGTTTTTTGTTTTTGTTTTTTTTGGTACCGGGGATCGAACTCGGGTCTTTGCACTTGCGTAGCAGACGGCGAAACCACTGAGCTAAATCCCCGGCCCCAAATTCCCTATGATGAATGTGATCGTATGTGTGACAAGCATGTATTAATAAAAAAGAAGGGGCTGGGGATTTAGCTCAGTGGTTCCGGTGCCTGCCTCACAAGCACAAGATCCTGAGTTCAATCTCAGGTACCAAAAAAAAAAAAAATCCACAAAAAAAATAAATAAATAAAAAGGAAGGGTTCCAAACCCTAAAACAAAGCACCCCATTTTATATTCCTCAGAGACGTTCCTTACAGAGAACTAGGTCCTTGCATGGCATGTGAGAGCCGGTGGGCCTGTGACCTCTTTGGGCTTCTGTCCACATTGGCTGACATGCAGATCGCATTCCTGTCCCTTACCTGAAAGAAGAAGCCCTTTGGGAAGACTCCAGAGCGGAGTGGCGCCAGGCCTCAGAGGACAAGAGAGGCGGAACTGAGGCCCCTCAGCTGCAGCTCCCTGCCCCAGGGCCCAGGGCACCTCAGGCTGTCACCCAGCCTCGGAAGACACTCCGTAACCCGGGGCAAGGGGGGCACACAAAGGCCCCTGAGCTGGCCTGGGGCACAGCACCCCCAAACTGCTTGCCGCCTGGCTGTGTCCCCAGAACATCCCCTGAGCCCAGAGAGCTGGGGAAGGAGGTGCTGGGACGAAGGGCAAGCAGAGGCCCGTTAGAAGCCAGTGCCTTTTAGGCCCGGAAGTGCCCGTGACTCCATTTGCTCTCACAAGTGGGCAAAGCCTGGAAAAATGGGGCGGGTTGTTCCCATATCTCTGCACCTTTCTCTCCCAAGTAATGGGTCCCACGGTTCCTTTGCGACAGCACCGGACACACCCTAACCTGCTACCCAGCTGTGCTTATAGTACTTTCCTTGTGGCCCTCTTTGTGGACCTGCCCTAGGTCTCGGTCCCTCTGAAATGTGACCTTGTCCGTTTCTTACTATTGACCTTCAGAGGTGGTAAAGATTCCTCTGCCTGCCAGCCGAGTCCTGCTGTTTGCTGACAGTCCTCTCTGCTGCCCAGTGGTGAGAACCCTGTGTCTCGCTACCTGCTCAGCACCACCTTCTCCACCGTGGAGTCACACCCTTCTACCCACGGTGATATTTGTTTATGACAAAGGAGAAGCCCTTCCAGGTGCCTCCATGACAAAGTTCAGTGTGACCCACAATAACTGATCTCGGTGAGCTGTCAGCAAACATAACTAACTCAAGGGGACCAAATCCAAACAATCCCTGGACAACCTTACCCGCAACTAATTACAATGTCACCGACGTGAAACCAACAGAAAAATAATTTATGGCCTCCTTCTAGTCATGAAGGCAGATAGACTTCACCCTCTCAGTGCAGGGCTCCTGCAGAAAATCTCCTAAACAGACAGCAGCAACTGGCAGGAGCCATGTGTCAACTGCCCTCGTGTGGGAACAGAGGGTACAACTGACTGTGACCGCTGACGGACTGTCCTCTCCCCTGCATGTGCCCACTGGGGGAAAATGGGCCAGGTCTACTCCTCCCCTGCTCACAACCACCCTGAGCTCCCTTGACATTTTAGTCCCCATAGAAAGCCTGGAGGGGGCTTCTTCGTCATCAGCTGATGTCGCCATGGGCCTCCAAGGCTGTGCTGGAAGGACAACGAGGTGGGCAGCATCCCGGTTTTCAAGGGACTGAGCAGGTTTCCTGAGAGAAAGTCTTCAAGTTTTAAATGAGGACCATCCCAGGTCAGTTGTTCTAGTTTGTCTGGGACTTGGCAGCCTTTAGGGACATGGAGATTTAAGTACTAATACTGGGAAGGTCTCAGAAAAAGCACAGAGTTGGTGACCCTTTGGGAGAGTCTGGGAGAAAACCTGGCACCGAGCAGTAGAACAGTTGCTGCTTCCCGTCCCTGCCCAGCCCAGGACCGGCCTGGGGCTCAGGATACGTGGTCCTGCTGACGCCCCCGGGGCCTAGGGCTGAGAGCAGTGAGGGTGTCCCCAACTGAGGGCCTCGGTCATTAAGTAGACTACAAAGTTTATATCTCCATGGGAAGGAAAAACAGGGTCAAACTGTGGCTTGGCAGGTCCTGAAACACTCGTCTCCGAACGCCTCTGACTGCATAGTCCTCACAGTTACACAGCCTCATAAAAATACATACATGTCCTACTGTGGCCACAGTGACAGGGCCTGCATTTCCCCACCTCCTCAGACATGGGTGGACCTACTTCTGCCCAACAGAAAGGGAAGGAAAATAGCTGAACATAGAGGCACATGCCTGTAATGCCAGAGCTCTGGGAGGC